TTGTCACTGCCTATGAGATGTGTCCCACCTGTCCCAACCATATTGCCTCCAAGCCTCTGAAGCCAGCTTGTGGGCAGTTTCCTCCCCTAGATGTGCTGTTTGAAACATGGCAGATCAACATCTTTCAATTGATACCTGCCCATAGTTACAGGCTTTGGTTATAATTTGTATGTCCTCATGGGTAGAAGTGTTCCTCTGTCATTGTGCCACAGCCTCTGGGGTAGCAAAAATCCTTCCATTATGGGGGGTTCCTAAGGAAACACATAGTGATAGAAGCACCCATTTTACAGGAACTTCATTAGCTAAGCTGTTTTTATCCTGGCTAATTATTCAGCACCTTCTTTTATACCTATCACCCCCAGTCATCAGGAATGGTTGAAAGAGTAAATGGGATGTTTAAAACCTCCTTGCTAAATTCTCTGAGGAGCTAAGTATCCCTTGGCCCAAAGCCCTACCTTTAGCCCTGTTAACCTTAGATTTAGACCATTTGGTACCACAAGCTCAGTCCCTATGAGATGACCAATGCCATTGTACCCATGGTTAAGAAGCATAGCAGCCAAAGGCTCCCTCCTGCAATACTGTATTGAGTTGGCTCAGAAAATATCAGAGACTTCCCAACTTATCTCACATTCCCATTCTTTAGAAATTCTAACTGAGACTCAGCCCATGATCCCACCTGGTGAGCGGGCCTACTGGAAACACCATCTCCAAAAACATTCCTGTGAGCCACAGTGGACAGGTCCCTTTGAAGTCCTGCTCACCACCCCCACTGCAGCCAAGCTCCAGGGTGTGCAGTCCTGGATCCGCTTGTCATATGTCAAAAGGACAGTCCTGCCCACCTGGATTATAGAACCCACAGGTGACCTGACCCTAAAAATTAAACAGGGTCCAAAGCAGCCAATATCTGAGGTAAACAACTATTTACAAAACCCCCAGGCTGAGAAGCAGATGATAGCTGATGTAGACCACCAGCCCAAGAAATCAGACATGAGCTAAGTTTTGCAGTTACTCCCATTACGGATTAAGCCTTTTCTTTTTCCATGCTCCTCAATTTCTCAAAGTTCATGGAAGTAGCAGGTTTCTTTTTTCCTTTCACTTTTCTGTTGTACCTGTCTCTGTAAGTTATGATTAGTGAAAATTTTGCTATTTGAGGTAAAAATTCCTGGGACTATAATTTGTTTTGACTTTTTATTACCAGGATGGATATCTGAATTGTCATAAGGCCAATAATAGAAAATTACATGTTTGGCAGTCTGAGGACTGCTAAGATGGATATGCATGCCTGGGAAACATTTTGGGGATGACCTAGGATACATCCTAGGTACACTCCTCCTGACTCTATTTCCCCATTGTGTTATTTCCATCATAGAAAAGGAAAATTCCCACCTAGTCAATCCTGAGACTTAACATGATTGGCTATCAGATATAACTCATGCCTGGAATCAAACAGGGTTAAGAGAGTTTTTCCCTACCATGTCCCTCTTTTTCCTTTTATAACAAATTTCTGTAAACAAGTTTTGTCAAAATCATGTTTCAAATGAATGTTCCACATTGGTCTACAAGGGTCATTCTGACCTTTTGATCAAAAGGAGGGATTGTGAAGGGAATTATGATTTTCGTATTAATTGATATATGTGTAATGAATATACTAATAATTTAGATTTCTCAGGAGACTCTGGATTGGGATTCAGAGTCTTCCAGTGCATCTTGAAATGATCAATCAAATGTGGACAATGCTCTCACAATTACTACATTCTTGTGCCTGAGTACATTAAGTGAAGCGAATCAAAGATTGTAGAACCTACTCCCATCACAGAGCTCTGGTCCTGTGCCCCACTAAGTAACGACCCTGAACGACTTGAAACAATACTGTTCCCACAGGACTCTAGAATACCTGTATTGTGGACCTGTGGGCTTGTCATGGGAAACCACTAGGGCCCTGGAAATGATTGTTTGTAATCCACCCCACACTCCTTTTCCACTTGTGATTTATGTATAAAAGTTGTGCTTCTACTCCAGCTTACAGAGCATTCCTCACTCTGAAAACTATTAACTAAACTACTACTTGACTAGTGGCACTCTTGTCTCTACGTCTGCTTCCTGTGGCTACAACTATTCCCAGCTAGAGATTTGTTCAGTAAAATCCTGTTAACACCCACATCGACCAATTCCAATATTGACTGTTCTTTTATAATATTTTGACATCCATTGTTATGATGTACACTTTTTCTTCATGTGGCTATTGATAGATTTAATTTCCTTTCTGAAAACTGTTACATATTTTAGCCACATGTCTATTTGAGAATGGCTCTTAGTTTTACATGTTTGTCATAATACTAAGACAATTCTCTATATATCTGGGATATATAAGACATATATGCAATTTGTAAAAAAAAATTCCCTATATATCTAGAATATGTAACTTTTATCAGACATGTGACAATCAAATTTTCCCCATTCATTAGCTTCTGTTTCTTATTGTAGCCAAATTTCTTTTGTCCATGCAAAAGCTTACAAATTTTACACAATCAAAAAGGTCTGGTTTATCTTTTATGATCACCTCTGTTCCTCTCTTTGGTTATGAATATTCTCCTTTCTAAATATCATTGCAAAATTAACTTCCTGTTTTTCTTTTTGTTTTCTTCTGATTTACTCTGATTGGAGCTTATAATGGCATACAGTGCAAGAAACTAATCTAAATGTATTTTCTGCAGATCGCTTCCTAATTTTCCCTAAAGTTCTTATTTACCCAAATGTTACATTATGATAGAAGTTATTATTATTATTTTACCCAAACCTGTGATTTTTATAGGATTAGGGAGTCCTGACTATGAAGCTCCCTCTGTTTACACAGATGAGCAGCTGTTTTGTAAAGATTTAGAAAGTTTCTTAGGGAGCTGAAATATTCAGTGATTTGCCCAGGAAATTATAACTAGTATGCATTAGAGGTGAGATTTGAATGATGTTTATGCTGATGCCAATGCTGGCTTTCTATTCACTAGATTACACTGCCTCTTAGAATCTCATTCTTATTTCTCAGTACATGACACTCATATACTCTACAATATTAGGTTGGTAACATCAGCTGTATAATTTTGAACAAATTGCTATCCCTTTTTGTACTTCTGTTTCACTGCAGAATAGTCAATAGTCAATAAATATTTGTTAAGTGTCTACTGTGTCTCAATCACTGTGCTAAGCACTGAAGATTGGAATATTAAGCTGATATCTAAAGTCTCTTTCACAGCTAATTTTTGATGGTTTTTTCAGAAATAAGGCATTTTGAGGTCACACTTAAATTCATTGTAATTCATATTTATCTTGTCTCTTCCCAAGCACTATTATACTTGAACCCAATCAGAACTGTGGCTGCATATGATAGAGAGAGAGAGAGAGAGAGAGAGAGAGAGAGAGAGAGAGAGAGAGAGAGATTTAGGTGCCGCCTTCTTCATCTTCCTGACTGCTAATATATTCATAGACTGTTAAACAGGAATGAATCTTAGAGATCCTATCAACCTTGGATATCATGTAGGTCAACTCCTTCAGATTATAAATGAGGAAACTGAGTCCCAGAGAAAGGAAGTAGCTTATCCAAACTCATACAGTAAAATTATGGAAGAAGAGGGATTACAGCCATACTCTTGAGTCTCAGCCCAGGTTTTTTGCTCCTATGCCACATTGTCTTCTCTCTTTCCAAATTCTCTGAGCTGCTCCCAATGACTACACCAGACTCTGAATATATATATATATATATATATATATATATATATATATATATATATATATATATATATATACATATATATGTGTATATGTATATATATGTATATATATGTATATATGTATATATATACATATATACATATATATACATATATATACATATATATACATATATATGTATATATGTATATATATGTATATATATGTATATATATGTATATATATATATACACACACACACATATATATACACACATATATATATATATGCACACACACACACATATATATATATAGATATATATATATAGATATATATATATCTATATATATATATATACATACATGCCAGGCATTGTGCTAGGTACTTCATAATTATTATCTTATTTGATCTTCACAACAAACTTGAGAAGTAAGTGGTATTATTATCCCCATTTAACTGATGAGGAAACTAAGGTAAAAAGAGGTTAAGTAACTTGCCTAGGGTCACACAGCTAGTAAGTGTCTGAGGCCAGATTTGAACTCAGGTTTTCCTGACTACAGTTCTCCTCTTTTGGAGCCTCATAGGTGAGAACCTCATTCCCCGTGCCTAGGCCTTAGACTCCCCACTTCAGGCCTCACACTGAAACCACACATTAACCTACAGCAACAGTAGCTCTGGCCCTCATTGACAAGATGATTGTGACCCCTCTAGCTAATTATAAGGGTAGTGATCCTTTGGGAAGGATCCCAGCCAGCCATTGTCAGATGGGCTGAAAGCTCTTGTTGGTATTTATAAGTGATATTCCTTACCACATTTGCAGCAGACAGAACAAGGTAGGGAGGATGTTCTTCTAGCACCATCCTAAGGAGATGGACAGTCATTGTTCCCTGAAGCTCACACTCCTGCTCCTCTCTCAAATCCTCATAAACCAAATGTAAAAACCTACACCTATAATACTCCAAACTCTAGTTTCACTACACTTGATTTTTCACTATCCCCTCTTCATTATTTGCTTCCCCCTCTGCAACCTAACACAAACTACAATTTCATTTGATGGGGGCTGGGGTCCTTTTCATTGTGTTTAAAGAGAGCTATGTCCTCCCCACCATGTCACTAACCCGCCCACCACAGACTCACTACTCTGTGTGTGTTAAGTGGCATTGGTAGGGGAATGTAATGAAGAGGGAGATATTTACCTGCAGTAGTTTGGATGGGGAGTATATGAAGAAGAGGATAAAAAAATCCCAAGAACATTCCTGACTCATACCCATGAAGCTCCAGCTGGTAGGTGGCCATGTCAGCTATGGCTTGGGCATCAGCAGTGAAACCAGGCAGTGCACAATATATATGTTGGTGAAGAGGAGCCAGCTTGTTAAACACTCTGTTCACTACAGCTGCTCTGAATGGTGGGGGAAGGAGATGGTAAGGGAGAGGCTATTAAGGAAGAGATGTGAGGAATAAAGACCTTATCCTTATTTGCTCATCATTTCGAGTTACACTGCTCAATTATCCTCACGTTCTCACTCTTAGCAAAGATATCCTCCACCCCAGTATCCCTATTTCACCTGAGTATACCCTTACCTAGGTCCTCATCCCTTTAAATTTCTTTCCATAGTCTGCTTCCAACTTCTTATTATACCAGCCCCTGCTTTGTTATTCATGTTGACCCCCAACTGTTCCAAAACTATCTCTGCAATGCATCTTATGCCTGGGCTAGGCAACATGCTTGTTGGGGGAGAGTCCCCTAATCTCTGATCCTCCTCTGATACTTACCCTACAGAAACTGGAGAATCAGAACTCACCACAACAGCACCACCAAACTCCACTGCCATTATAGGTATCTCAAGAAATAGACTTTTAGAGTGTTGAAGCTGAAAGAGACCTTTGCACTCTTCCCCTCATTTTACAGGTAACAGAAAACAGAAAAGTTACAAAAAACAGACACACCAAAATTATTACAAGTTTGGTTAGTGGCAAAGTTGGAAGTGGAACCAAGGGGTTGGACTTCCAATACACTACTCTTCCTATTATATTCCGTTCCTTTATATGGTAGGGAGGAGGTATCTCAACCTGGATAAGGGCGAGACCCTTTCCCCTAACCAGGACTTTGGTGCTTAAGTCTTAGATTCCCCCAAGTGACATTCTTCCTTACCATAGAGAAAAAGAATATTGGGAAAATCCCAGGTAACACTTGTTATCTTTTTGGTGAGGTAAGGTTGTGAGTTGTGGGACTGAGGGAAGGTTGTGGGTACCTTTACAGCCCTGGTTGTTCCCATGTTGAAGTGACTTCCAGTGTAAAAAGTTAGAATGTGTGATGTTTTGTATCTAGATATGATATGGTACTAGCTAAGGAGGTGACCATGAATTTGTTAAATGAGAATTATTGCTTGGCTTCCCCCAACAAGTTTAGATGATTCTCATGGTAAGCTCTCATGATGGTGAAGTGAGGGTTGGGTATTTAGGACCTCAGCCATGAGGACAATTCTTTTTTAAACTGAAGAGATTTAGTTAAGCAGATTTTGATAAGGAGGAAAATTATAACCAGAGGAGGAATCTTGAGTTCCAAAAAAGCTGGAGTCTGTGGTTTTAACCTAGTTAGAACAGTATATACTTATATTTGACTGATTTATAAATACCCATTATTATCATCCTTGCTGCCTGAAGTAAAAATCACCACTTCTGTATTCCACAAGACTGTCCTAATGACTTATCATTACTTATTCAAACCAGACCACTCACTATCCACAAGCTGGCTGTAATTTACCTTCCTAGCCTTATCTCATACTGCTGTTCCTTCAGTACTTAATTCTTCAGCCACATTTACCATTTGTCCTGAGTCCAGTCTCAGGCCTGCTACTAAATAGCTCTGTGATCTTGGGCCAATCATTTCAACTCTTTGATCCTCAGTCTCCCCAACTATAAATAAGGAATTCTTCTCTAAAGGCTCTTCTGATCTTATGTCCTGCTCTTTCCTACCTTAATGCCTTTGTTCATATCTTTCCCTATATCTCTAATGCCTTCTCTCTCTCTTCATTTAAATCCTACCTAGTTTTCTTGATCCAACTAAATGAATGTCATTTCCTCCAATTTTTTTTTCACTGTATCACCTCATTCCCTCTTCAGAGCTGCAGTTTCTATGTAGATGTTGCACAGTGTTATCCCCACCAGACTGCAAGCTCCATAAAGGCAGTGACCTTGTTTGACTTTCTTCATCACTTCACCCAGTGCATCGGGGTCTGTACGGGTGCTGATTAAATGTCTGCTGAATTAAATCGATCACGAGGAATGATGAGGCAGCCTTACATTCCTCAGTCATTGGTGTGCTACAGAGCTGTGCCTACCCCAATCCTTGAGTAGTGGCAGTGAGGGCAGGTCAATTGTCTGCTTGCTGCCACTCCACTTCCTCCTCCCTATCTTCCTTAGGCAATTCGTTTATGGACTAAGTCCCCAGAGTAGTTTTGTGTGATGAGATTAGCAAAGTCACACCTGAACCAAGGATGAAGATTACCTGGGGCACCACCAAACCAGGGGTACTCCCCCACTTCCTCCTATAGCTATCCCTCTTCCCCATGAATACTACTGGAAGCAGTCTGTGTGAGTAATTGATCGTTCTTAAAAATATATATATTTTACTCCTTTACTTTTTCACTCCGGGTTTTCACTCATTCAGCTCCCATGGTCCAAGTGACCATGGGGCTCTTTCCTGGAATCTATCTTCTTCTTCTTCTTCTCTACTCTTCCCCCAAATCCACCCCTGCCAAGTTTCCCCAATTAAGCGAAAGGGCTTCAAAGTCGCTTCTCCCTCGGCCTCTGCCGCGGAGTCTGGACTCCACTCTTCGGCCTCCTTCAGTAGCCTTTAGAGTTCATTCGCACTCCACACCGCTAGACTGCCTCTCCCAAAGTGAGACTTTTCCTCCTATCGTGGGCTGCCACGTGTATTCTCCGGCTCGGTCCGCGACCCCAGGCTTCCAAAGCCATACCCCATCTCCATCCTTCTTTGCTGTCCCTCTAGTCTCTTACCCCTTTAGGGACTTTTTCAACTCCGGGAAGATCCCTAAAATGGGAGCTCTCCCACATCCTGCCAGCGCTATGCACTGCTACTCTCCTCTCCCGGCATTGTTTTCTGACCAGGGATAGTGCGCCAGCCCCGCCTCTCCTTGCTCCTCTTCCCTCCAGGGGGCGCCTCTGTAGTATTGGGCTGTGGTCTAGTCCAGGTCTGTTTCGTGACTAGAGTCGCTACAGCCCCTGCGAGGGCCAATTGAAGAAAGTGGTTCTTCTTAGCAGAGAACTGAGCTACTTGTGGGATTGAGGTTGGGGTTGGAGATGTGGGGTTAGGGGAGGGGCCAAGTGGCTTTCTTTCTCCATTTATTTAAAATCTCAGACCCAGGGATATCCTGGGTGGGGTGGTTTTGGCAGGGTGGATTCAAGGAACTGCGGTAGCTTCCTATTTCTTTTTCTGGAAACGGCTTTCCTTCTCCCTGCAGCCCTGCACACTTCGCTGCCTGAAGTTACACGAGACTCTGGCCGCAGTCCGCCCCTTCCTTTACTCCTAACCCTGTCCAGGAACCTGCTCCGGACACAGACACCAGAACTCCCCTGGACCCAAACCATTAGCCAAAGGGCGGAGAGACGTAGAGGAACCCGTCTCAGGACCCCGGACAGCGCCCCGCGCATGGCTGGCTCTGGGTCTCCCGGGTCGCTCCTATGTCCCCGAACCTCTTCTGGGGGGCTGCAGGCGCTGCTGCTCTTGCTTCTCATGGACTGGGCGCTGCTCCGTCCGGCGCTGCCTCAGCTCCTGCTTGTGTTCTTGCCCACCGGGCCTCCGCTTCTCCGGCTCTGGGTGGCTGGCCTGGGCCGTTGGGGGATGTTGTGGCTGGGAGCTCATTGGACCACTAAGCAGGAAGGGGTCGGCGCTAAAAGTTGGAGGACTGCGCTGGGGCCCCTAACGGCAGCGCTGCCCGGGCTCGCCTCGTTCAGGGCTCTGGGAGGGAGGGAGGCTCCAAGGGGTGGAGGCGAGTCTGGGCCGCTGCGCTGGGGGAGCCGGCTCGATGCTTTCGCTCTCAGCTATGCCGTGGCACTGCTGGCGCTTTTCCTGTGGCAGAAACTTGGAGATCTTTGGGTGCCGGGGAGTCCCAAAGGCTCGGGGTGCATCATACACCGGCTGCTGGGCTTCCTGAGCCCAGAACTGCGTCGCTTCCCACTAGTGATGCTCTTCCTCCTGTTGTCCTGTCTAGGTGAGGAGAAGGAGAGTGCAAGGGACTGGGCAAATTGGGGAGAATTGAAGATTATGGGAAGTGAGTCAGGGGGACAGGAGAGAGGCAGAACTTTATATCCAGAACGTCTGACTCCAAATCTAGTTGTCTTGCCTTTACACCACAACTGCCTAGGAATCAGGAGATCTACGTCCTAATGCTGTGTGTTAAGCTGTATGACTTTGGCAAATTCATCTTACCTCTCTGGGCTTCTGTCTCAGATGGAGGATTGGCCTGTGCGATCTCATAGGGGCCTAACAGAAGAGGTCTAACATCCTATGGTTTGTGGAAATAGTGAGAGGATTGGGGTGTAACTGTGTGATAGAGGTGACTTCAGATGACAGGATTGTCTATCTCTACCTACTTATCTCTGGTAAGATGGGAATGTAGTCTAACTGGAAGTCCCCAGCCTTGATATAATAAACCTCCAATAAGCATCATTAGTTGATTAATTGTAACTCTCTCCCTCCCTGACACTGCCTCATCACCTCTAGGACAGACTGCTATCCCATTCTTTACTGGTCGCTTCACAGACTGGATCCTGCAGGATGAAGCAGCTGCTATCTTCACCCGAAACATTGCTTTCTTATCGATACTCATGTTAGCCAGGTCTGGGAACTGGGCTTGGAAACTGAGAGAATGGGGAACTAGGGAACTGAGGAAGCTGGAAGCTAGGCCTGCACTCTGGGCAGATTGATAGAGCAGAAGACTCCCTCACCCCCAAATATTAAGCCTCCTAGTAATCCTACTCCCTTCCTCATTTCTTCCCAGTGCTTTGTTAGAGTTCTTGGGTAATGGAATTTATAATTACACAATGGGCCAAGCCCACAATAACCTTCAGGAAAAAGTGTTCCTGGCTGTGCTGTCCCAGGAGGCTGACTTTTTTCAACAGAACCAAACAGGTGAGTCCTTGTACCCTCACACAAGAACATTCTTATGCTCCTTTCTATCTATTCCCTTACAACAAAAAGCAACATACATTCATTAATCCCCAGCTTTATTCAGAGAGCTTTGGTCAGTGCTAGGGGAGATAGAAAATTTAGGTAAGACCCAGTTTCTACCCTCCTAGAGCTTATTGTGTAATGGAGTGAAGAGGGATCACTCGCTACACCAATTTGAATGTGAGATCTGTGTGAGTTCTAAGAGCTTTTAAATAAGGAGACTTGATCAGTTGCCCCCAACATTTGGCCCCAAAGGCCTCCCCAAATCAATGATCATGCAGTAATTCAGTGGTTCACACAAAGGAACAAAGAGAAAACCATGCACAAGACTTCTGTCTCCAAGGGACATATGTCAAAGAATAGTCTATAAAGTTGGATGAAGCATGGAGATTACTGGAGACAGGAGCAGTGCAGTGGTCCTCAAAGGAAGGGAAACATAGCATTGTGGATACAGTCCTGGACTGGAAGTCAGGGAGACCTGGGTTTCAATCCAGCATCAGGCACTTACTGGCTGCATGACCCTGGGCAAGTCTTTTAACTTTTGTTTTTTCATCTGCAAAAAAGAAAAGGGTGGACTTTCTGCCCTCTTAGGTCCCTTCCAATTCTAAATCTTTCATGCTGTCACCTGTATCCAAAATAGGCTGATATTGTGGCAGCTTCAAATATGGCTTCCCAGCTTCTTTTTGTACAGGGAAAAACTCATCTCTAATGTATGTTAAAAATTCCTCTTTTGGGGAGGCAGGGCTTCTAACACAGGAAATGATGGGGTGCAAGGTGTTATCTGTAACCATTGCTTCCAAATTTCTACTTTTAGATTCTTGAGTGCAACAGTTGTTTGAAGGTGGGGGTTTGGGAACACTATGGAATTAAAATGCTTCCTAATCTACTCTTTGCTAACAAAGGGAGATGATGGAGGATCTAATGCATGATCCCAATTGCCATGGAGCAGGGCCCTTTAAGCCCAGGTGCATACTTACCTGTATAGTCATATTTCAGAAGACCAAAGAGACCTTTTTGGCTGGATAGAAGGGTGAAAAAAAATTGTAAGAAGTAACTAAGCTGACCTAGGGAATGTACAGAAATTTACAGGCAGAGGTGGGGAAAGAGGACATTCCAGGCATAAGGAACAAAAGCATATCAGCATGAGAGCACAGTTTATGGTGACAGACAGCACAGATTATATAGAAGAGTGTATTATGAAATGAATGAAAGAGTAGAGTGGATTGGGGAGAACCTTGAATGACAGACAAGAGAACTATGAATATTATTTAATAGACAATTGGGAACTTCTGAAAACTTGTGCATGCAGAGAAGTTGACATGATAAAATCTATGCACAAGAATGAATCTTCTGGCAGCAGTATGACAGATAGACTAGAGGGAGAAGAGAGTAAAAGCAAAAATCCTCTTGCAGTAGTCCAAATGGGTAGAAATAGGGGGAAGGTCTTTCCCAGGGTGATGGCAGTGGGAATGGAACATATCTCCCCCCACACTCCTCTCTTTCCTTATGCCTTTTACACAACCCTATATAGTACTCATCATACCTTCCTTGGCCTTTTAAGCCAAAGATCAGAAAGGACACACTACTATATATCCCATCTATACAAAAATGTTAATCCTACACTCCCTTTATTCTCAGAACCAGAGAGGTTTGCCTCCTAATACTCTTGCTGTGCCCTCATATAGTTCCAATAATTTGCCACATTTAGAATTTGAATCCTTGGTCCTCTGGCTCCATGATTGCCCAACAGGTATCACTAGATCCCCAAGGAGAACTTTGCAGCTGTGATCCTGCTCCAGCACCCAATGTCACACACCCCACTCCAATCTTCTTGGGGCCCCACAAGCCCATTAGGGACCCTTAGACAGTGGCTGAGCTAATGAGCCCCTTCCCTCATTCCAAAATTTTCCCAGACGTTTTCCTCTCTGCTTCAGCCTCTCTTCATATTTCCATTTCCCCGTCCAACTACTCCAGACCCTCAACTCTTGCCATACCCTCAACATTCCTTCTTCCTCTTTAGGTGCTATCACCTCTTGGGTGTCAGAGGACACAGACGTGCTGAGTGGCTCCCTGAGTGACACGCTAAGACTGCTCTTTTGGCACTTGTTTCAATCACTGTGTCTGCTGGGACTTATGTTTTGGGCATCTCCAACACTCACTCTGGTCACACTGATTGATTTTTCTATGCTATTCTTCTTGCCCAAGGAGCTGGGCAAGTGGCAACAGGTAAGTCTAGGGAACCTCTCTTCTCCAGCATTTCTCCCCAACTTTTTTTTTCTGTTTTATTTGTTTAAATTTTTTGTCCATTAATTTATTTATTTTTAGTTTTCACTTCCACAAGATTTTGAGTTCCAAATTTTCTCCCCATCTCATCCCTCACTCAACCCCAAGACACCATGCATTCTGAATACCTTTTCCCCTAATCTGCCCTCCCTTCTATATCCTACCCCCCTTCTCTTATCCCCTTCCTCTTCTATTTTCCTGTAGGGCAGGATAGATTTCTATACCCCATTGCCTGTATATCTTATTTCCCAGTTGCATGTGAAAACAATTTTTTAACATTTTTTTAAAAAACTTTGGTTTCCAAGTTTTCTTCCTTCCTCCCTTCCCACCCACCCTCATGGAGAAGGCAAGCAACTCAGTGCAGGTTATACTTGTATAGTCATGCTAAACACTTCCATAGTAGTCATGCTATGGAAAACTAACTATATTTCCCTTCATCCTATCCTGCTCCCCATTTATTCTATTCTCTCTTTTGATCCTGTTCCTCCACAGAAGTGTTTGCTTCTGATTACCCCCTCCCCCAATCTGCCCTCCCCTCTATCAACCCCCCATCTTCTTATCCCCTTCCCCCCCTATTTTCCTGTAGGGTAAGATAGTTTTGCATACCCAATTGAGTGTGTATGTTATTCCCTCTTTAAGCCGAATCCAATGAGAATAAGATTTCCTCATTTCTTCTCGCCTTCCCCCACTTCCCTTCCACTGTAAAAGCCTTTTTTTGTCTGTTTTATGTGAGATAATTTACCCCATTTTACCTCTCCATTTCTACTTCTCCCAGTATAATCTTCTCTCACCCCTTAATTTTATTCTCCAGGTAGCACGCATACATCTTCAACTCACCCTGTGACTTGTATCTATCACTCTATCTATATATATAATTTTTTTCCCTTCCAACTACTTTCATACTGACAAAGGTCTCATGAGTTAGAAATATCATCTTTCCATGGAGGAATTTAAACAGTTCAACCTTAATAAGTCCCTTATGATTTCTCTTTCCTATTTACCTCTTCATGCTTTTCTTGAGTCTTGTACTTGAAAGTCAAATTCTCTATTCAGCTCTATTCTTTTCATCAAGATGCTTGAAAGTAGGGGCAGCTAGGTGGCACAGTGGATACAGCACCAGTCCTGAAGTCAGGAGTCAGGAGGACCTGAGTTCAAATCCAGCTTCAGACCAAACACTTGACATTTACTAGCTGTGTGACCCTGAGCAAGTCACTTAACCCCAATTGCCTAAAAAAAAAAGCTTACCCTCTATCTCACTGAATATCCATTTTTTATCCTGAAGGATTATACTCAGTTTCAATGGGTAGGTGATTCTTGGCTGTAATCTTAGCTCCTTTGATCTTCAGAATATTACATTTCAAGCCTCCCAGCCCCTTAATGTAGAAGCTAAATCCTGATTGTGTTCCCACATTACTTGAATTATTTCTTTCTGGCTCCTTGCAATATTTTCTCCTTGACCTGGAAACTCTGGAATTTGGGTGCAATATGCCTAAGAGTTTTCCTTTGGGGATCTCTTTTAGGAGGTGATTGGTGGATTCTTTCAATTTCTCTTTAGCCCTCTGGTTCTAGAATATCAGGGCAGTTTTCCTTGATGATTTCTTGAAAGATGATGTCTATGCTGTGTTTTGATTATGGCTTTCAAATGGTCCAGCAATTTTAAAATTATCTCTCCTGGATCTATTTTCCAGGTCAGTTGTTTTTCCAATGAGATGTTTCACATTGTATTCTATTTTTTAATTCTTTTGGATTTGTTTTACAATGTGTTGATTTCTCATAAAGTCACTAGCTTCCAATTGCTCCATTCTAATTTTTAAGGAAGTATTTTCTCCAGTGAGCTTTTGGACTTCTTTTTCTATTTGACCAATTTTGCTTTTTAAGGAATTCTTCTCCTCTTTGGCTTTTTGGACTTCTTTTACCATTTGGGTTAGTCTATTTTTTAAGATGTTATTTCCTTCAGTGTTTTTTGGGGTCTCCTTTAGCAAGCTGTTGACTTGGTTTTCATGATTTTCTTGCATCACTCTCATTTCTCTTCCCAATTTTTCCTCTACTTCTCTTACTTGCTTCTCAAAATCCTTTTTGAGTTCTTCTATGGCCTGAGACTGATTCATATTTTTCTTGGAGGCTTTGGATGTAGGAGCTTTGACTTTGTTATCTTCTTCTCATTGTATGTTTTGATCTTCTTTGTTACCAAAGAAAGATTCTATGGTCTGACTTTTTAGTGCAGTTCTCGTGATCCCAGCCAATTACTTAAGTTTTAAACTCTTTGTTAAAGTAGAGATCTGCTTCCAGTGTGGAGAATGTACTGTCCCAAGCTTCAGGAGTTTTATGCAGCTGTTTTCAGAAATACTAGGGACCTGTCAATTTTCCATTCTTGCAAAGTGGTATGACCAAGGGCAAGGTGTTTACTCCTTTCCCAGCCTGTGCGCTGGTCTGTGAGTGACCACAAGCACTGTTTTCTGCCTTGGAACTGTGAGGAGGATTCCTTCTTTACCAAGACACGAGCTACACCATGCCAGTGCTCCTCCTTGCCCCAGGATCACCACCTAGAACTGTGACCCAGATCCAAGCACAGGCAAACAAGAGATTCCTGCCTCAGCACCAGTAAAGAGGTCCCTGTAATCCCCCTCTGATCAGCCATTCAATTCCCCTTTGGTCTGTGGGCTAGAGACCTTTCCCATCAACCATCCAGGTTGTCTTGGGCTAGAAATTTGTTCCACTCTGTCTTTTTGTGGCTTCTGCTGCTCTATAATTTGTTTAGAGCCATTTTTTACAACTATTTGGAAGGGTTTGGGGGAAAACTCAAGCAAGTCACTGCTTTTGCTCCACTATCTTGACTCCACCCCTCTGTCCCCAACTTTTGCTCTACTTTCATGAACCCTGGTTTGTTCTTTACACTTAGCTTTAACAAGCTTAGTTCCTCTGACCCTCCTTTGCCTCCTAAACTTTGAAAGACTATGTGGTATATTAGAAAAATCTGAAACAAAATTCTACTACTGGAGTGAGTGAAGGAAAGTCTTTATCACACTTCTCATGAGAGAAGTGAGCACAATGCACTTTAGTAGCACATGGGCGCTGATTCAGTGGCACAATCGACTTTTAAACAGTTAGTAAGATCCGTGCTCCACCCACCAGGGCTATGATTGGTCTGGTTCATTTGAGTTACACTCTTCCAGGCCAGCCCATCTCATGTTTGTCCATATTCTTCTTTGTCATGTTAGGTCGTGCATCACATGATCAAAAGCGGGGGCCATCTCCATCCTCAAGCTGTCAGTTAATATTCAATTAGCTTATTAAGCAAGCAATGTGGAGAAAAGCCTTTGCCCTGTTGAGGTCCCATTCTTGACCCTGATGGGTTGCAACCAGTTTAGCGTCCAGGGCTCTTTCTTAAGGAACTAGTCATTTACAGAATGTTTGGTACACTTTCTGATTGGTTGAGGGTGTATTCACAAAATCTTGGAGTCCTCAAAATCCCCTTGTTCTGTTGTGGAAGTTTAACTTCTAATCCTTTCTTACAGGTATATGGTCATTGCCCTGTGGCCTCGCTGATTCTCTTGCCTGAACTCCAGCCCTTTTTGACCATGGCCTCTGTCTCTAGGTCATTCTCTAGCCTTTTTCTTCATCATATCTCCTTATTATACCAATTTTCTACAATCCTTTCTAGAATACTTTCCCTTTCCCTCTATTCTTCTTTCTTCTCTGGGTACCCAAGTTCTGGAATTCCTATGTTCCTATAGTTTCTTGGGTGACTGGCATATCCCTTCCTTCTGCTTTCACTCTCCCCCTCTGTCTTTGTATTCCTTTGTATGTCATGGTGTCTCCATGTCCTTACATCAGAGGATTTTAACAACAACAATAGCAATAATAACAATGATAATAATCACATTTTCTAACATGTGCAAAGTGCTTTAGCATTTGCAAAGCACTTCACATATGTTATCTTACTTGATTCTCACAACATCCCTGAAGTTATTATGATGGTAGAAGCTATTATTATCTCTACTTTATAAATGAGGAAACTGAGGCTGGGAGAGGTTAAAAGATTTGCCTAAGGCCACACAGCTGGTGTCTGAGGGATGATTTAAACTCAGTTCTCCTTGGCTCCAAATTCAATTCTCTATCTACTCTATCAACTAGCATGTCTTGTAATATTACTTTAATGACACATCAACAGAGCACTTCACAGATAACAAAGCTCTTTTATTACCCAGCTAGAAGTTAGCTCATGCAAGTGTTATTTCTATTTTTCAGATAAGGAAGGTGAAGACCAGAGTACACAAATAACTTGTCAGATCTTATGGCTAACCAGCTGGTAGCAGGGGTTGCACTGGAATTCATGCTTCTTAATTCCCCAAGCAGTGCTCTTCTCACTGTCTTCTTACACTGCCTCCCTTCTGCAGCAGGCCCTGGGAAAATGTCCAACTACTCCCTGACATTATGCTCTTCTGTGGACTGGGGATATCGAGGATGCTCAGATCCACGGGACCACCTTCACTCTTCTTTCACACCATCAATTTCTGTACAATCATTTAAATGTATTAAGAAAATCCTCTCTGCACAACACTGTGTCCCCACAGGCCCTGGCAATCCAAGTGCAGACATCCCTCACAGAATCAAGCCAGGTGGCTGTGGAGGCACCGTCTGCTATGCCCACAGTCAGAAGCTTTGCCAATGAGGAGGGAGAGGCACGGAAGTTTGCCCATCAGCTCTAGAAGATACAGAAACTTAATCAGAAGTTTGCAGTGGCCTACAGTTTCAACTTGTGGACCACCAATGTAAGTATCTGGGGATAGAGTACCCACTTCCCAGCCTAGGACTTATAGACCCCAGTCCCCATCCAGGGATTCCTGGGCCAAATTTTCCATTTTAAAACCTTGAGGTAAAACTCCCATTCTCGTGACTAGTCTCATCATTTTTTCCTTTATAGGAAGTTCTAGATACTTGTCTTAATCAAGGAGACCCAGAGTATTACCTCCCTTACAGGGAGATAACTTTATTTCTACTTTGAAGTCCTTTTCCTAGCCCCCTTGGGGTTCCACAAGATCCCTGCATCTTACCTCTCCCTTTCTTGGGGCCTCTTAGGCATGAGGGTACATGAAGTGTGGGGGGGGACTTGGGGATAAAGGAATATATGGTTTTGTTCAATGCGCATGTATAGCACGACTTCAGAGAGGGTCCTTAGTTCCTTCCCTAGAATCCCATAGCTGTTCTTGTGGCTGTTGGTTTTACATGGAGGCAGGGAAGTGCTAGCTTTAGGTGTCCAGGACTCTAGGTGTTTTATGATACCTAATGTTGTAACTCTGTGACTATACTTGGGGCTCCAATGCCATTATTTCCATGAATGTGACATAGTTATCCTTATAGTCCTCTGCTACCCCCAACTTGTACTCTCTGATCTATCCTCAGCTCTTAGGACTCCTGCTGAGGGTGGGCATTCTGTACATGGGGGGAAAGATGGTGACCCATGAGAATGTGAGTAGAGGAGACCTTGTCAACTTTGTCCTTTACCAGATCCAGTTTACCACTGCTGTTGAGGTGAGACACCCCCCCCACAATTGACCATTGCTCCTTATTCCTCCTCTTGCATCACTTTCAGCATCCTTTTTCCAGCTCTCCTGTCAGACATCCCAGACAACACATGGGATATACCTCCTCACCCACCTCATGGCTCATCCCTCTTCCTTCAGGCATTGCTTTCCACCTTGCCCAATGCACAGAAGGCTGTGGGAGCCTCAGAGAAGATCTTTGAGTACTTAGATCGGATACCTCAATGCCCTTCCAGTGGTCTCCTGGCACCTCCTACCCTCCGTGGCCTGGTAGAATTTCAAGATGTCTTCTTTGCTTACTCTAACCAGCCAGATGTCTTGGTCCTACAGGTGATACATGCTCCTTCTCACACTCCACTTCTTCCAGTTCCCAGTCCATCAAATGACCTCTGGGTTATTACCTTTCCTCAACTCATCTTTCCTCTTCCCTGGGCTGGATGAGATGCTTTTGCATCAGGTACCAATTTAACCTCTCCCAATCTTTCCATGCAAGGAAGGGAAAGGATCGGAAAGACCCCACCTACAGGGTTGTCCCAAACTCACAAATCAGCTTGGGTGTCTCAAGGGAACTATTAAAAAACTCTCTCTCAGAGGTATCCCCACTTTCCCCTACTCTGGCAGTGGGGATTAAGGTCCTTTTTTTTCTCTCAACTCTCTTCTATTCTCCCTTATCTTTCCTCCTCCCTTTGATGCAGGAATTACACTAGCCCTGTCTCATGATGTGAGGATTTCCCTGTATGTGTGTGTGGTGGTGGGGTTGGTGTGTACCTGCTCAACCAGCAGATAAGCTCTCTCTGTCTCTCCCCTGATGCCTTCCCTTTCTTGTTCCTTTAGGGAGTGACATTCACTCTGTACCCTGGGAAGGTGACAGCACTAGTGGAGCCCAATGGGGCTGGGAAGAGCTCAGTGGCTGTATTGCTGGAAAATCTGTATCAGCCTACAAAGGGCCAGCTGCTGCTGGATAGAAAGCCACTGCCCCAATACCAGCACCGATACCTGCACTCACAGGTGAGGATTGGAAGATCACTTGGGTCAGAACATCCTTGGGAAAATGGGTCAAGGAAGGAATGAATAAGAGAAAAAAGGGCAGGCAGAACTGGTCCTAGCCCAGCAACATTCTTGTTATGGATGTGACAGAAATGAAGACTTCATTGTGAGGAATGGAAATACCCAAGTCCCTCTCCTCCTGCCTTCACCTGCCCTTATTCTGGCTCATCCCAGGTAGCTGCAGTGTCACAAGAGCCACAGCTGTTTGGACAGAATCTATATGAAAACATAGCCTATGGGCTGGGCCGGAAGCCAGAGCTAGAGGAGATCATGGAGGCTGCCAGGCAGGCTGGAGCTCACAGTTTCATCTCTCAGTTGCCTCAGGGCTACTACACAGGTACTGTGAATATTCACTCCCAAGTCGACATATCCCTTCCCCGCCAATACCTGGCTCAATCCATTTCATCTTTAACTGTCCTTTATCAGAGATAAACAAGGAATGAATAAATCAATGAAAAAGTATTTAATCAATACTAGAGGAAGAGAACAAGGAAAAGAGAACAACCATTTACTAAGTATCTACTATGTGCCAGGCACGTTGCTATCTGCTTTACAAATGTTATCTTATTTGTTCTTCACAACAACCCTGGGAGGTAGGTGCTATTATCATGTCCATTTTTGCTATTGAGGAAACTGAGGCAGGCTTGTCAGGGTCACACAGCTAACTAAGTGTCTGAGGCCTTGCTTGAACTCAAGTCTTTGTGACTCCATGCCTAGACTCTATCCACTATGCTACCTAGCTGCCTCAAAAATACAAATGTTCAAAGCACTTACTAGATGTGTGACACTAGCAAGTCACTTAACCTCTGTGTGCCTCAGTTTCCTCATCTGCAAAGTGGGGATAATAACAGTGCCTACTCCCCAAGGTTGCTGAGAGAGTAAATGAAATAATAATTGTAAAGGGCTCAGCATAGTGCCTGGCACATGGTAAGTGCTATATAAATGTTACCTATTATTATTAAGTACTAACTGTGTTCCAAGAATTGTGCTAAGTGCTGAGGATACAAATACCAAGGTAAGAAAGTCCCTGCCCTCAACTAGCTTACATTCTAATAAAGGGAGGCAACATGTACAGGTGAGGAGTAGCCAAGGAAAAGAATTTTAGTCTGTAGAATCATAGGGATGATGAGTAATCCACAGAACAGGATTGGATTTTATGGTACTATTGATAGGATGACTGTGTCCAAAGCAAGAAGTGGAAAGGGAAAGTAAGTGGTAGGGCCCATAGCAAGATATCCACATGGATGAGTGGATGGCATGTGGAACATGGTTTGGGGCTGACTAGATATAGTGGGCTCCCCTGATTTTGGGAGTTTGCTCCCCCTGATTCAAGAGTCTAGACAGTTCAGACTCCTGTCTTCTAGGGCAGGAGTTACAAAGATGGGTGGATCAAGGCCTTTGGAATCTCATTCCTTGGTTTCCATGGACTGTCACAGACTACCATCCCACTACTGTGTTAAGGAACTGGTCTCAGCCTTATCCATCTCCTTTACTCCAAGGGAGAAAGCATATGTTTTTGTGTGGCTGTAACTGTCCTGCTCTCAATGCATCTGGTTCTCTCTCCAGAGATAGGAGAGTCTGGGAGCCAGCTGTCAGGTGGTCAGCGGCAGACAGTGGCCCTGGCTTGGGCTCTGATCCGGAACCCTCGGATCCTCATCCTAGATGATGCTACCAGTGCCCTGGATACAGACAATCAGTTATGGGTGAGATAACAACCTCTCCAACTCTCCCTAATTCTCAAATCCTTAAGGTTAAGGCAACCCTACTTCCTTCCTGTTGTGCCCAGAGAATTTTGTTCGAGAAAGCCTATGCTATACAAATTTTCTAAATAAAATCCTTAAATTTAACTTCTTTTCCTTTTTTTCTTTATTTTTATCATCATTACCATTAGCAACATCAAAAAAAAAACCCTTGATTAACCACAGAACTATGCCTAGGGATGTGCTGGGTTTATTCTCTCCCTAGACTTCATTGGGTTCTTACACCACTTCTTTTCTTTTTTTTTTCTTTTCTTTTTTTCTTACACCACTTCTTCGGAATGGGGGAGAGCAGTAATGGTTCACCATGGATGAGACAGTTAATGCCAATGGCATTAATGCTATGGTTTGTGCATGAGTCTTACTAATAACATCTGTGCCTTCCTCCTACAGGTGGAGCAGCTTGTGTATGAGGCCCCCAGGAGGGCCTCTCAGGCAGTGCTACTCATCACCCAGTGTCTCAGCTCTGTGGAAAGGGCTGACCACATACTCTTCTTGGAGGAGGGGGTCATTCAGGAGAGTGGGACCCATAGGCAGCTTATGGAGAAAAAGGGCCGATACTGGACCATGGTGGAGGCCATAGGTGGGAACTCAGCTCCTCAGGAATGAGTGACAAACTCGAATCCTTATTATGGTGGAAGATACAGTTCTCTCATTTCCTGAAAATGGAGAGACAGGAAGAATTTCAGCCTTTTTGCCACATGATATGATTTAGCAGTTCCAGAAAGGTTTTCCACACCACAATTATACTCCTACTAATTATATTCCCATCACCAACATTAATTCCTTTGGTTTAAAGTTTTCTACTACAGGCTCCTTTTTTAAATTGTAAATGCTAGTGGAGGGGAAGGCAAAGAAGCCTTTAAGGGGAATAACTTAGTGGGAATTCATTCATTCATTCTTTCAACAAGCATTTATTAAACAGCAACTATGTCCCAGCACTGTTTTATGCATTGGAGATATGAAGACAGAAACAAAATATTCCCTGTCCCCAAGGAGATTATATTTTATTACTGCCTACTTCCAGAGCTTGTAAAGGATAAATAACAATGTAGTTATCAGTTATATTTTATACAGCCAGAGTTCAAGACCTTTGAGTTGAAGGGGCACAGAAAGTGAGGGACAAAGTTACTGGAGAGGTTGACTGGGATGTCTCCATATACAATGTGGTAATAGGGGCATTGGAGGATCAATTCTCTATTCAACTGATGCAAAAATATTGTGGGAATGCTTGGTGTGGAGAATAAACTTGGTGTTTTCTTAAGTTTTGTGTTTCCTCTGTTTTTCCAGTTGCAATAGTTCAAGCCCTCTGCAGTTCTTCTCTTGGATTTTGTGACAACTAAGCATTGGAATCACCAAAACTCAGCTTTTCTTGTCCTCTTACTCCTGGTTTCCTAGAAGAGTGTGGCTAGAAGTATACAGTTGGCATCCAAAGATTTAGGGGATCAAATTTTTGTTATTTGCTAGTTGTGTCATCTTGGGTAAGTCACTCAGACTCTCTGAGCTCCCTTCATCTCTTTCATTTTCAATCTATACTTAATGGCATCTTTCCTGCTATCTAGAAATAAAACCAGATCTCCCCCATTCCTTAAATTCTGCTATCCCCTAAAGTTGTCCTCCTCCATCTTTCCTCCATTTAATTTCCAAACTCCTATCAAAAATCTTCTACACTCACTGACTCCATTTCCTCCCCTATCACTCCATTCTCAATTTTATGTCATTTGATTTCTTTCCCCCCCATTCAGCTGAAAATGTTTCCTTCAAGATTAATGAAGATCTTTTAATAACTAAAACCAATGGATTTTTCTCAGTTCTCATTTTTCTTGAATTTCCCGTTTTTGACACTATTGACAGGTTCCTCCTAGGTACATACTCTCATCTCTGTTTTCATGGCATTGTTTTTTTTTTTCCCTAGTTCTCCTCCTACCTATCTGACCATTTTTTCTGAGTTTCCTTCACTGGGTCATTGACCTTGTCTTGCCCCCTAAGCATGAGTGTCATCTATATCTGTTCTGGGCTCCTTTTTCTTCTTTTTTTAGACTCAGTGACTCTTACCTGTTTTTGCTTTTTTCCACATCCTCAACATAGCTCATTGCCCAACACATTTGTTGTTGTTTGGTTATTCAGTCTTGTCCAACTCTTCACAACATGAGGTTTTCTTCGCAAAGGTACTAGAGTGGTTTGCCACTTCCTTCTCTGGTGTGTCTCTGTTTTACTGATGAGGAAAATAGAAGTTAAGTGACCTGCCTAAGGTCACATAGCTGGTAAGTGTCTGAGTCTGGGTTTGGAAACTTCCTGATTCCAAGCCCAGTCTGCTATCCACTGCACCACCTAGCTGTTCCTGCCTGACACATACTAGGTACTTAATAAATGCCTGCTGACTGATTGGATTCATAATTCAAAGACCTGGGTTAGAATTAGCATTCTGATCCTCACTACCTGTGTGATTTAGGGCAAGTCATTTAAAAGATCTATGCTTTACATTCCTCATCTTTAAAATGTGAAGGTTGGACTATAGGATCTCTAAGATTCCTTCCATATCCAAATCTTTTAGTACTGTAGCACAGTTGCTCCCACACACAGAATCAGTGGGTGCTTCAGGTGTCACCTGGAAAGGAAGAAGGGAAACAGAGAGGAACTGGTACAGTTTCTCAGAGTACTATGTCTTGCACAGCCAAAAGGTGAGCTCTAGTCCTCAGCTAATGGCTCATGTAACTATGTATAACATAAATGACAAAAGAAAAGAAAAATACAAATCTGGAGGATCTATGGGAAACCAGGCACACCGATATACTGTTCATGAGGCTGTGAATGTGTATAACCATTTTTGAAAGGAATTTGGAGTTATAAACAAAAAGTTACTGAAGAGAATTTCACATAGGTACAGAATGTTAGGCCTATACCCAAAAGAGATCAAAGAAATAGACAAAGTTCCTATTTAATATTATTATCTAAACTTTGCAGCAGTCAGCTACCCTTACTGTTTTGTACCATTATTCTCTACTTCCTAAATGGTTAAACCTATATTTAAGAAGGTATTTGATAAATATGTATAGTGGCGTACAACATATTTGCAAATGATTGATGTAAAATGTTTACCTGTAATGACTATATTATTTTCTGTATTGATATTGCTGCATTTTGTAAAGGAATAGATGTAGCCACAGATGGCTAGATGGTTCACTGAATAGTAAGCTGGGCCTAGAGTCAGGAGGACTTGAATTCAAATCCACTCTCAGACGAATTACTAACTGTGTGATCCTGGGTAAGTTACTTAGCCCCTGTTTGCCTTGGTTTCCTCAACTGTAAAGTGGGCACTGTGGAGAATGAAATAACAAACTACTCCTGTATCTTTTCCAAGAAAACTCCATAAAAATAAAGGGTCACAAAGATTCAGATGTGACTAAATGACTTAACAACAACTGATAGAGGCATGAGTTTTTGTATTGGTAGTCTGAGCAAAATGGGAGTTTTGTTCCAGTATATCAATATAATTGATTTCTTTTGTGATCCTATGTATTTTATTTTGTGCATTTGAAAACATTATTCTGAAGAGTTCATAGGCTTGACCAGATTGACAAAAAAAGGGGTGAAAATCCCTCTCTCTCTCTCTCTCTCTCTCTCTCTCTCTCTCTCTCTCTCTCTCTCTCTCTCCCTCTCCATCTAAGGAAATTCCCACATTAGTTATATCCAAACACAGATATCTCATTCTTCATTCTAAGTCAATCACTTCTCTGCCAAGAAGTGGGTGGTACATTTCATCTTCAGTCCTCTGGACTCCTGTTAGATTGAGACTTCCTTTAGGGTAGAGGCTCTCCCCCCATCCCCCCTTTTGTATTCCCAGCACTTAGCACAGTGCCTGGCACACAGTGGGCACTTAATAAATGTTTATTGATTGATTTATCATTACATCCACCAGAATTTTAAAGTCTTTCAAAGCTATTTTTCTCTATAATGTTGCTATTTTTGTCTAAATAATTCTCTTATTCATTGCTATCCATAGCCAGATAAAGAACTGATGGACTCAATGCAAATTGAAGCATATTTTTTCACTTACTTTATTCTTTCTCATGATTTTATTTCCTTTTGATCTGTTTCTTCTTCCACAACTGTGATGAATAGGGAAATATGTTTTTACATGATAGCACATGTATAAACTGTATCAAACTGCCTGCCATTTTCAGAAGAGAAGAACGGAGGGAGAAAAATTTGGAACTAAAAATCTTGTAAAAATGAATTCTAAAAAATTTTCTTGGTATGTAATTGAGGAAAAATAAAATCCTATTTAAATGTTTTTTAAAAATTCTCCTATTTGTGCTCACTTTGCATCATTTCAAATGTGTTCCCTGTTTCCCCTGAAAACATCTGTTCTATCATTTTTATGGCACAATAACAATCCCATTACATTCACATACCATGGTAGCCATTCCACCAATAGATAGACATGGTTTTAATTTCCAGGGTTTTTCTTTTTTTTTTTTTTTGGCTATTAGAGATTAATTGGAGACTAAATAAATTATTTCAAAAGAACTTGCAGGTCAAAAAAATCATAGAAAGAATAGATAATTTCATCAAAGAAAATAAAGAAGAGTTGTTCAGAGACTTTGGACTCTTCATGACCCCATTTGGGGTTTTCTTGGCAAAGATACTGGCGTGGTTTGCCATTTCCTTTTCCAGCTCATTTTACAGATGAGGAAACTGAGCTAAAGAGGGTTAATTGACTTGCCCAGAGTCACACAACTAGTACTAAGTGTCTGAGGTCAGATTTGAACTCCAGGACCTGAGTCTTTCTGATTCTGGGTCCAGTACTCTGCACCTCCTAGCTGCCCCAAACAATGAGACAACATACCAATATTTTTTGGAATGCACCCAAAGCAATCCATAGAGAAAAAATCATCATTCTAAACAGTTTCAATAAAGGAGAGAACAGATCAATGAATTGACTATTATTAGCAAAACTCCTAAAAAATCAACACTTATGAAAAACAATATACTAGGTATATAATCCCAAGGAGATTACTGGAAAGAAAATTCTATATAAATCAAAATATTTATAGGAACACTTTTTGCAGTAATAAAGAACTGGAAATAAAGTACATGACAAGTGATTTGGGAAGAGCTAAACAAATTGTGGTGCATGAAAGTAACAGAATATTACTATGCTATAAAAAACGACAAGATGAACACAGAGAAATATGGATTCATATGAACTGATTTTGTAGAGTGAAGTAAGCATTACCAAGAAAACAATATACATGATGACTACAACACTGTATATGGAAGGAGTAGCTACCATAGAAAATAAAAAAATCAATGTATACAAAATTACAAAGAATTAGCATGGCCCAAAAGAAATCTGTGAGAGTGGAACATTGCATCTACAATCAAGCATTTAACTTTCATGACTGTGACCATTCGCATGATTTTACTAATAACTTCATTTTCACCTTCCCATTGGCAACCACACATATTAACTATGCACCATAGAGGTAAAAAAATGGGATGTGAGCTAGTTTGTGAAGCTGCTGGTATACTACTAGGCACATTACTGGTCTTATTCACTCTACCTTTGTAAAGAGCTCCCTGTTTAGTGTTGCAATTATGCCCTCAAAGCCTAAAGCAAGCCCTTTGGGCTCCAAGCCCAAGCATGCAAAGTCAGTGATGTGGCTTTTCAGTGAAAATGAATAAGTGTTAGATAAATGTCATGCCGGAATGTCTACAAGCTATCTGTCATTTTTGGTGTCAACCAATCAATAATTTATCATATCCACAAACGTGTCCTAAAAGTGTTCATGAATCTGCTCCAGAAAGTACTAAAGTAACCTCTTAAGTAAGCAATGAAGGAATTGAAAAAATGGAAAAGTGGTTATTTGTGAGTAAATGAGTTAATCTTTTGTTAATGTTAATGTGTTAAAGTTTTGTTATTTAAAAAAAGAATATGCAGAAAAGTGTATTTTCAGCACTCTCTAGCAAAAGTTTTCCAGTTTTTGGTGGTTACAGGAACCTAACCTTGTATTTTCCCCATTGGTTCAATATATGAACATTGACAACATTTTCTAGGAATGTTACCCCCATGAAAGTTGAGGATTGATTGTATTTTCATATTTTCTTGATATAGCAATCGTTTTTGCTGATTTTTTTCTCTTCCTCTTTTTCTTAAAAAGATATTAAATGGGATGGCTCTCTGGGGGAGAGCAAAAGGGATATTGGGAAAACTATTGGCAATGTGAAAAAATCCATAAAAATTTATATTGAAAAAGGAAAAAAAATCAACACAAAAACTATTTAAACACTTTGAACAAATTTCGAAGAAGCTGAGTCGCTTAGGGTGAGTGGTCTTGGCGGTGAGCCTTTGTTCAGGGCTCCTGCCTTGACTCGAAGATCCCTAGTCTTGATTTACATAATTCTTCAAGCCCAATTCGTTTCAATTCACTTTAAATTTAATACCCCACGGTTGATGTCACACAACGCTCTTGCCTTACCGGGCAGGATGCTGAGAAACGAATAGATTTTCTCAATCACAAAATTTAGGAACCTTTGACTTAGGGGTTTCCAGCTCCCTCCGTAAAGAGAACTCAGTACAGGAACCTGTGACCCGTGGGGATCAGGAGCAGTGGAGCTGAATTTAAACTGTCGGAGCCCTGCTGGGGCGCTGAGGCTTGAGCGGAAGGGGAAAGGTAGGCTGGGCGTCTAGATTTGGAGAAGCAGCTCAGGAGAGCTGCAGCTCAGATCTTTGGAGCAGAAAGCGAGAGTCTTCTCAGCTGCAGCTCAAGAGTTGTTGCTGATAGGCAAGTCCTTGCTGGGGAAACATGCAGAAACCCCTGGGAATTTAGCCTTGATCCCTTCGAATTCGACGCTGCCAAACCTCTCCTGACCTGGACGGTCACAGTCTCCGGGAGCGAGGGAGAGCAACACTTGTGTGGAGGCAAGGACGGAACAAGAGAAGGGGTCGCATTTGGAGGTATTTTTAGAGAGGAGAGGGTCCTGCCTCCTTTTCCTTTAGCTCCTCCTCCTCCTCTCCATCGTCACCAAACATTAGGGGGATTCTCGGCCTCTTTGCCTCTCCCTATGAGAAGGAAGGAGAGAACATGCCTGAAAGAAACAGCTCCAACTCCCGAGAGCTTAATGGAAAGGCAATGTGAGGAAATGGAAAGATCTCTGAACCTGGAAGGGGAGGGTGTGTCACATCTCAACCCCTTCCTTGCCACTTACTAGCTGTCTGACCCTGGGCTAGTCACTTGATTTCTCTGAGCCTTAGTTTCCTGACATGTGGAAGAGAGTTGGACTAAATGGGCCCTATGGCACCTCACAGCTCTAAGTCCTATGAGCTAATCAACCTGCTGAGCAAGCTGGAGGAGTGGGGGTGGGGGGAAGGAGGAAGCCTCTAGTAGGGAGGGAGGTGACCAGAGATAGGGTGAATATGGGACTTGGTTGTGTTGCGGGCTGAGAGGTTGAGAGGTTGTGACCCCTCAAAGACTGGAGTACAGGATGGGTTGTCTGGAATGAATCCACAGACTCAAGCACTCTTTAATTCAAGGTGGCAAAGATTTATTGTTATGCCTTTCAGCAGGCAAGGATTCTTAAAGGATCCTGCAACCTTAGAGAGGTACAGGTAAAGTTTATATAGGATAAAATGCAATAAAACATGTGTCAAATATGTTAACTAGGTGATTCAGGGTGGGATTAGGGAGTGGTTAAGGAGTGGTCAGTTCTCAATTGAAACTCAAGATAAGAAAAATCCCATTATTCAAGAGAGTATCTGGTCCCAGACATCCTGGGCCCAGTGATAACAAACAGGAAGAACACTGATCAGCTCTATCTGGTCCTGGAATTTGCTGACACAGGAAGGGGTGTTTTTAGTTCACTCAGAGAGAAAAACATTAATTTAGGTTTTTGGCCCTTACTGGGGCTCAATTGATCTTAAATGATTATCAAGGGACAGTGTTTCTGAGGCTAGGGAGAAACTGGGATACGAGTACAAGCACCCAAACATAAGCACCTAAGCATAAGCACCCAAGCACCCCAACAGTTGGAGGTGCTGCCTCTCATAATCTCTCCTTATTCTTTTATAGGCCCCAACATGCGGCTCCCTGCCCTGAAGCCCTGGGTTCCCATCCTCCTGACTGACCTGATTTTGCCATGGTTGTTGCAGGAACGGGAATGCACCCTATTCCTTCCAGGGCTCTCTGGACTCTGGGTGGAGGGGGCCTTTCGGGTGGGGGTGCTGTGGGGAGTTCTAAGTTTTTTGGGGGGACTTGGGAAGGTGGGAGAATTACTGCCTACCTTGTGCCTGAGCACCCCACTGTTCCTGTCCCTGAGGGCCCTAGTTCCAGGGGCTTTGAGTGCCCCACCTGTGCTCCCAGCCTCAGCCCCATGGACCTGGATGCTGGTGTCTTATGGAGGAGTGGGACTGGGCTGGGCTGTATGGAAGGTGTTGAGCCTCTCAGAACCCCTTCCCTCAGCACAGCAAAGCCAGAAAAACAAAGCCATGATGTGGAGGTTGCTGAGACTGTCTTGGCCTGACTTACCCTTCCTTGTTGCTGCTTTCATCTTCTTGGCTGCTGCAGTCATAGGTAAATGGACAAGATGGGAGTGGGGGTGGGGGAAAGCATGAATCTAAGTGGACATAGAAAGGGGTCATTGATGTTGCCCCCAACCCACACTGCTCATGCCTCCACCCCAGGTGAGATGTTCATCCCCCACTACACTGGTCGTGTGATTGACATTCTGGGCCAAGACTTTGACCCTGATGCCTCTGCCACTGCCATCTTCTTCGTGTGCCTCTTCTCCCTTGGAAGGTCAGTGACTTGGCTTGGGGGGGGGAGGGAAGGAGGGGAGTTTAGGTAAGGAAATCATGTCCATCTCCTTTAGGGTTCTGCCACTTACTGTGTGACTCTGAGATAGTCATTTTATGTCTCTGGATCTCAGTTTCCTCTTCAGTGAAATGAGAAAAGTTGATAAAGATTCTAATATTCAATGATCCTCTGAGGGTACTTCTCATTACCCAAACCCTTTGTGATACTCATTGGCCAGCTACCTCCAAATTCAGAGGCCTGCCCTCCCCAAGGGTAGAGAACTCTCTCCTGCTAGATAGACCTGGGAATATAGAAAGAGAAGCTTGGTTCCAACTCCTTGATTGCTCCTACTCTGAGGTAGGAGACACGGACCTCAGCCTCAGGAAGCAACCACTCTCACTGGGGAAGGAGGGAATGCAGATACCATCACGGGAGTGCATTCATTTATTAGATCATTCACTCACTCAAGAGTATTTATTAAGTGCTACCTGTGTGCATAGCACAAATTCAGATGTATACAAGTGCAAATGAGGCCTCTGTAAATGAAGAACACACATTCTGACGGACACATTTCCTCTTCATCTTGATGTCATTTCAGCCTACACTTCTCAGGGATTCTTCATGCCACCTTCTTCAAGAGTTTCCACTGCTATTCCCTGCTGCCCATCGCCTCACATTTGCAGGCTTTACCCGTAGTGCCTATTCATCCAAATCTGATCCAGCTGGATACCTCCACCATATCTGTCTCCTTTCTCATCCCTTCCAGACTCCTGAAAGGACCTTTCCTTCAGGATTGTTTCCTCCTTCTTCAGCATATTTCATTTCTCTCTTTTGCATGGGTTTACCCTCTTAGCTTTCCTTATCATTTCCTTTTATTTTTCCCTTTTTATTTCAAAATACATTTTATTGATGCTGTTTATCTTTACATCATAACTATTTCAATTCTACTCCTCCAACTCCAGACTGAATCCTCCCTGTGACAAGTCAATTAAAACAAGCATCAGATTATCCTTGATGATGTAAACAATGTTCTATCCCAGTAAGTCCCAACTTCTCTGCCATGATGGGAGAGGTATATTTTTGTTTATTTGTTCTCAGGACCTTCATTTGTTTTTCAGTTATTCAGAAATTGACTTTCTTTTTAGTAATCTTTTAATTTACATTATCATGGTTGTTTTATATATTGTTTTCTCAGCTCTGCTTATTTTGTTCTACATCTGTTATACAAATCTTCCAATGTTTCTGAGTCTCTCGTATTTTACATTTCTTATTGCACAATATTATTCCTTCACTTTCATATATCTGAGTTTTTTAGCCATTTCTCAATTAATGAGCACTCTCTCTCTCTCTCTCTCTCTCTCTCTCTCTCTCTCTCTCTCTCTCTCTCTCTCCCTCTCTCTCCCCATCACTCCCTCTCTCCCTCTCTCTCTCTCTCTCTGCCAGAAAGAGTACTGCTTTGAAATTTTTAGTATCTATTGAACTTTGGTTTCTGTATTTGACTTCTTTGGGGTATATGTCCAGGAGTGAGATTGCTGAGTTGAGGCATTTTTCCTGCATAATCCAGAGTGGAAGCCACTTCATAGCTCTATCAAAAATCAAGCCATTTGTATATGTGTCTTCCTGCAGCCCTTCCAACATTGACTGTTTTTGTTTTTATCAGTTTTGCCAATTATATTCCACCCTCTGCATTTACAAACACATCCAAGTCTCATCTTGAAAGAAACATTCCTATTGCCCCTTCTAGTTACTGACCTTTTATTGCCAATATGCTAGGGATTTTTTTTTAGGCAGTTGGTGTTAAGTGACTCACCTAGGGTCAGACAGCTAGTATGTGTCTGAGGCCAAATTTGAACTCAGGTCCTCCTGACTCCAGGGTTGGTGTTCTATCCACCACACCACCTAGCTTCCCCAATGCTGGAGATTTTTTTCCCTCTTTATATATCCAGCACCTAGCACAGTCCCAGGAACATAGTAGGTGCTTAATAAATTCTTGTTAATTTATCAAAATCTGGGATGATTTACTATCATTGCTTCCATTTCTTCATCTTCCTTAACTCCCTGTCATCTCTCTTGTCCCAATATGTCTACTGAAACACTATTCTCAAGAGACTTCAGTGACTTTATTGTTGCCAAATCTAAGGCCACCCTTCTAAGTTCTGATACTTCATCTTTCTGTAGCATTTAATGTTGAATACCTCTTCCTTGACATTCTCTCCACTCTTAGCTTTTGTACTGCAGTACCCCCATATTGTTCTTACCTTTCTGACTACTCTGTTATACTTATGGGTTTGCTCTCCAATCATTCCTCAAGGTTTAATCTAGTCTACAAGCCTCCAATTTTCCTCTCTCTGCACTTTTTGGAGCTGATTCATGTTCGTGGTTTTATAGTCATCTCCATTCTGATGGCTCCTAAAGTTATATTTCCAGTCCTGATATTGGAGCCTGAGTTCCAGTCCCATTATCTTTACTGCCAGCTGTACATCTCCATCTTCACTGCATGATCCATTGCCTTTTATCAACTCAACTCATATTGCTTCAAACTCATTACATGTCTCCCCAGGTCCTCTGCATCACCTCCCCTCAGACCTGGTTTCCCCACCTAACCCTAACTCCTACCTCCTTTTTCCTTTTTTTTTTTTTGACATTACTATTCCTTCATTCATTCAGTCTCAGAAACTTGGGCCATCCTTGAATCCTTTTTCTCCTCCCCTCACCTCCAACAGCCACTGAGTTCTCTCACTTCTTTCTTTAAAATAACTCTCATTTCCCTATTTTCTTTCTTTCTCCACTACCAATATCCTAGTATAGGCCTTCATAATCTTATTGCTAGATTTCTTCAAATGTCCTAACTATTTTCTTGATGTTTGTACAGTCTCCTTTAATAGATCCTGTATACCATGTTCAGATTCACCTTCCCCAAACCATTATTTTTTATGATATCATAGAAGTCATTAGTGGCTTCTATGATCCACAGGGTTAAAGTTCATTCCACAGTGTGGTCCCATTCAGCGTATGCATTCTTATCTCCCATTTCTCCCCAATGTGAACTCTTTACTCCATTTAGGTCAGTTTCTTTAATATCCCCTAAACATTCTATGTTTCTTCACACTTCACCAGTCCCTCCATACTCCACCATGTTTGTCTTGGATGTCTTTTCTCCTCCTCTCAGCCCATCCAAATCCTAGCCATCTTGAGACATACTTTCTCCATGAAACTGCTCTTGATCATCTTAGAGGACATTCATGTTTCTCTTCTCAGAATTCCTGTCACATTTATTATATGTTCCATTGATTTTTCTGATTTTTCCTTCACTATTTTGTGAGTCCCTTAATACATTGAAAATTCTTTTAAGGTTGAGACAAGCTCTCCCTTGTGGGAGAATGGCCATAATTACCTTTCAGAAGAGAGATGAAAGACTCTGTTTTGGCTGGGTATCATTTATAAGAGTTGTCCACGATCACAGGTAGCTTACATGTAGATTACATGTGTACTATGGTGTACTATGGGAGTATGTGTACTATGGGAGTTAACCTTCAGCCAAAAAATAGTCTAATACCCCGAATGTTCCCAGTGGTAAGAGTAGGAAATACCTACCATCTGAAAAAGGGAACTTTGGGACTAGTTTCCACTAAGAAGTCTTGAGGTAAGGGAAATACTGGGGTGGATGATGTTACATGCCCTATTAGCTATATGAGCTAGCCAATTTGTTGCTGGAATTGAATCAGGATTGGTACAAAGAAGCTTCACTCCACATAACTCATCTCTTTATGTGTTTGTTTTTAAATTAAAAAAAAATTAATGAGAAGAAATCTCCTCCTTCCCTACCCCATTGGAAAAAAAGAAAAGGAAAAACAAAATTATTGTAATAAATATGTATAGTCAAGCAAAACAAATTCCCTCATTGGTTGTGCTTAAAAAGAACATGCTATTTTGTACCTTAAATCCAGCACTTTTCTTTCAGTAAATGGATAATATACTTCATTATTGGTTCTCTGGATCATAGATGGTCATTGTGTTAAATACATTTCTTATAACTTTTAAAGTTGTTTGTCTTTATAGTGTTTGTATAGAAAGTGTTCTTCTGGTTCAGCTCATTTCATTCTTCCTCAGTTTATAAAAGTCCTCAAAATTGTTCATTTTTGTACCATTGATGTTACTGTATTAACTGTTCTTCTGGTTATGCTCATTTCACTCAGTACTAGTTCATGTGTCTTTCCACGTCTTCTTCAAATTGTCCATTTCCTCTTTTCTTATAACACAATAGTTTTTTACCACATTCATATGCCACACTTCATTCAGTCATTCCTCATTTATGAGTATCCTTGTAGTTTACAGGTTTGTTTTTTGGGGGAATTTTTTGGCCACCACAAAAAGAGCAATTGTAAAGGGTTTTTTTGTATATTTAGAGTCTTTTCCTATTTCTTTGATCTCTTTTAGATAAAGGCCTAATGTGGTGTGGCTGGATCAAAGGCCATCATGCACTATTTACTAACTTTTTGTGTATAATTCCAAATTCCTTTCCAAAATGGTTATACTCATTCAAAGGTCCATGAACAGTACATCAGTGTGCCTGTTTTCCCACAGAGCCTCCAAAATTTGTAATTTTCTTTTTTCTTGTAATTTTTGTCAATCTGATGGCTCTAAAGTTGTTTAAAGAGTTGTTTTAATTTGCATTTTAAAAAATTAATGATAATTCAGAGCACTTTTTCATATGGATTTTTTCTCTTGAGAAGTACTTGTACATATGCTTAGACCATTTGTTAATCAGAGAATCACTTTTATTCTTATAAATTTGAATTAGTTCCCTACACACATATCTTGGAAATGAAGAACTTTATCAAAGACACTTTTCCTAGTTAATTGTTTCCTTTTTCGTCTTAGCTTAATTGGATTTCTTTATGCAAAATCTTTTAAATTTTATGTATTCAATACAGGAAAATAGAAGGGGAAGGGGATAAGAGAAGGGGGGAGAGATAGAAGAGAGGACAGACTAGGGGAAGGGATATTCAGAATGCATGCCATTTTGGGGTAGAGGGAGGGGTGAGATGGGGTGAAAATTTGGAGCTCAAAAACTTGTGGAAGTGAATGTTGAAAACTAAAAATAAATAAATTTATATAAAAAAAGAAAAATAAATTTTATGTGTTCAAAGTTGGTCATTTTATCTTCTGATGTTTTTCTCTCTCTTTTTCGGTCATGAACTTTGATTCTCTCCATAAATTTTGTTAATTTTTTTCATGTTCCTCAAATTTGTTTTTTTTTATTCCTTTCAAAAATATTTGAAATAAATGGGCTTCTTCTGTCACATGCTGATTTCAGGTAAAAACAATTTTTGACTTTTTTCTTTTTTTTTTAATTAATTTTGAGTTCCAAATTGTCTCTTCTCTTTTACCTCCCCCCTCTGCGAGGTGATCAGCAATTTAATATAGGTTATACACGTGTAATCATGCACAACAAATTTCCATATTAGTCTTATTGTAAAAGAAAACATAGACCAAAAAAGAAAACATAAAAAAGTGAAAAAATAATTTGCTTTAGTCTGCATTCAGATTCTATTGCTTCTTTCTCTGGAGGTAGATAGCATTTTTTGCCATGAGTTCTTTGGATTAGTCTTGGATCATTGTATTGCTGAGAATATCTAAGTAATTCAGAGTTGGTCATTGTACAATATTATTGTTACTCTGTACAATTTTCTGTTGGTTTTACTTCACTTGCATCAGTTCATATAAGTCTTTCCAGATTTTTCTGAAATGATACTGCTTGTCATTTCTTATAGCACAATAGTATTCCATTACAATTATATAACACAACTTGTTCATTCCCCAACTGATGGACATCTTTTCAATTTCCAATTCTTTGCCACCACAAAAAGAGCTGCTATAAATATTTTTGTACAAGTAGGTCCTTTTCCCTTTTTTTTTTTAAAAAAAAAAACCCTTTTAGGATATGGACCTAGTGGTGGCTTTGCTGAATCAATGGGTATACACAGTTTTACAGCCCTTTCAGTGTAATTCCAAATTGCTCTCTAGAATGGTTGGATCAGTTCACAACTCCACCAGCAGGGCTTAGAGTTCCAATGTTCCAACATCCCCACCAACAGTTATCATTTTCCTTTTCTGTCATATTAGCCAATCTGATAGGTGTGAAGTGGCACCTCAGAATTGTTTTATCTGCATTTCTACTGATTTAAAGCATTTTTCATAAGACTACAGATAGCTTTGATTTCTTCATCTGAAAACTACACGATCACATCCTTTTACCATTTATTAATGGGAGAATGATTTGCATTCTTATAAATTTTACTCAATTATGTATACATTTGAGGAATGAGACCTTTATCAGAGATACTTCTGTGAAAAATTTTCCCCAGTTTTCTTCTTTCCTATGAATGTTGCCTGCATTGGCTATTTGTGCAAAAACTCTTCAATTTAATATAATCACAATTACCCATTTTATGTCTTGTAATGCTCTCTATCTCTTGTTTGGTCGTAACGATTTTTACTTATCCATGGATCTGGCAGGTAAATTATTCCATGCTCCCTTAATTTGCTTATGGTATCATTCTTCATGTCTAAATTGTGTACCCATTTTGACTTTATAGTAGTATATAATGTGAGATTCTGGCCTAAAGCTGGCTTCTGTCAAACTGTTTTCCAGTTTTCCCAGCAATTTTTGTCAAATAGTGAGTTCTTGTCCCAAAAGCCTGGATCTTTGGGTTTGTCAAGCACTAGATTGCTGTGGTCATCTACTAATGTGTATTGAGTACCTCATCCACTGATCCACCACTGTATTTCTTAGCCAATACCAAATTGTTTCAATGACTACTGCTTTATAATACAGTTTGAGATCTAACATGGCTAGGATACCTTCCTTCACATGTTTTTTTTTTTTCACACCAATTTCCCTGATATTGTTGACCTTTTGTTTTTCCAAATGAATTTTGTTATTACTTTTTCTAGCTCTATAAAATAATTTTTGGTAGTTTGATTGGTATGGCACTGGATAAATAAATAATTTTTTTTAAAAAGTAAATTAATTTAGGTAGAATTGTCATTTTCATTATATTGGCTCAGCCTACCCATGAGCAATTATTATTTTTCTAATTGTTTAGATATGAAAAGTGTTTTGTAATTGTGTTCATATATTTCCTGGGTTTTTCTTGGCAGGTAGACTCCCAAATATTTTATATGATGTACCATTATTTTAAATGGAATTTTTGTTTTTATCTTTTGCTGCTGGACTATGTTCATAATATATAGAAAAATTGATAATTTATGTGGATTTATTTTATGTTCTGCGACTTCACTAAATTTGTTTATTATTTCAAGTATTTTTTTACTTGATTCTCTAAGATTCTCTAAGTATACCATCATATCATCTGCAAAGAGTGATATCTTTGTTCCTTCTTTGCCTATTCTAATTCCTTCAATTTCTTTTTCTTCTCTTCTTGCTATAGCTAACATTTCTAATACAACATTGAATAATGGTGGTGATATACTGTATCCCTGATCTTATTGAGAAGGCTTCTAGCTTATCCTTAGTATAGATAATTCTTGATGATGGTTTTAGACAGGTCCTACTTATTATTTAAAGGAACACTCCATTTATTCATATGCTTTCTAGTGTTTTTAATAAGAATGCGTGTTTGTATTTTTTCAAAACCTTTTTCCACATCTATTGAGATAATAATATGATTTCTGTTGGGTTTTTTTATTGATATGGTTGATCTAATTTGTTTTTAAAATGCGACCTTTTATATCTGGACTTATCCACTTAGAGGTTGTCTTCACATAATGTGTGTGGTATTTATAATTTCTTCCATGCTGTTGTCCAACTTTCCCAGCAGTTTAAAAAATAAAACAAAAAATAGTGAATCCTTTGCTCAGTAGCTAGGGTCTTTCTGTTTATTGAACATTAGACTACTAGAGTAATTTGCTTCTTTATGTTGTATATCTAATCTGTTCCACTGATCAATCTCTTTATTTTTTAACCCATACCAAATGTTTTGAGAATTATTGCTGTATATTATAATTTGAGGTCTAGCATGGCTAGGCTAACCCTAACCCTTTTGGTTTCTCATTTTTTTCTTCATTCTTGCCCATGAGATTCTTGGCCTTTTTAAAACCTCTATGTGAATTTTGTTATTATTTTTCTAGTTTATGAAATAAGCCTTTATTAATTTGATTGGCACGGCACTGAATAAGTAAATTAACTTAAGTAGCATTGCTATTTTATTATATTGATTCATCCTACTTGTGAGGAATTAATATTTTTCTAATTATTTCAGTCATTATGTTTTTGTAAAAAGTGGTATATTGTTTGCATGTGAATCTTGGTTAGTATCCCAGAAATTTTATGCATCCTTTAATTATTTTAAATGGAATTACTTTTTCTCTTACTGTTGGGTTTTATTGTTACTATATAAAAGTGTTGATTTATGTAGATTTATTTTATTTTCTCCAATTTTCAGAAACATTTTTGATTTTTTTTTTTAGTGAGGCACCTGGGGTTAAGTGCCTTGCCCAGAGTCACACAGCTAGGAAGTATTATCTGTCTGAGGTCAGATTTGAACTCAGGTCCTCCTGACTCCAGGGCCAGTGCTCTATCCACTGTGCCACTTAGCTGCCCTGATTTTTTTAATTGACTTTTTAGATTCTTTATTGCTTCATTTTCTTTAGAGTCTCAGTGAATTATTCTGAAAATCTCCAACCTTGTCTTGGATAAACTAAGAGGAAAATGGGTTTCCTCCATCAAGATTAAGAGGGATCCCTAGGGGCATGGTGGCAATGACCAAACTTGCTTTAGAACTCTGGGACAGCCAGGGGAACTGAAGCAGAGAATAGGAATCTAGACAAGATAGAGTCAAATCAGGTGAAAGTGACAGAGTCTTCATTCCTTTCTGATGAGGCTATCTCGTAACCCATACATTTCCCTTCTCTCATAATCATAACATCTTGTAGTAGACAGCTGAACACAGAACAGGTTCTCAATAAAAGCTTGTGCATTTGAATTAAACACCCTCCTTCTGCTCCTCAGGTTTCCCATGTCACATCTCTCCTCTTTCCACACATGACCTAAGTGATTATTCTTCCTAGTGGCATTTCTTCTGTTTCCCTCTCCTCTGTACTCTCCCTGTCTTTCCCTCACCTTTATCCCTCCTCTTCCATTGATTTTCTTCTCTCTCTCATCCATTCTTCCCATGTGTCCCAGTTATATCTCTTTCCCACCTGTATGCCTCCTTATGTACCTGTCTTTCTCATCTCCAAAGCTTATTCTTTGCAGGCTGTCGAGGAGGTCTCTTCACCATCGTCCTCTCCCGAATCAACCTTCGCATTCGGCGTCTGCTCTTTTCTTCCCTTCTGCACCAAGACCTTAGCTTCTTCCAGAAGACCAAGACAGGTGGGGTACAAAGCCTAGACCTTTGGTTGCTCTGGGCCTTCTTGACCCCTCAGGGCCCCTTTCATGGCTTACCTCCTCCCTTCTTTCATAGCTTCATAGCAGGTTCCTATCAGAGTAGGTTGTGGAGACCCCATCTCTCTCCCCATAGTAGAAGAATGGAGGCAGGGGCATAGAGACAGGTCTGAGTTTTTGATATTTCTGATGATGAATTGCCTCAGCTGTGGTTTTTGGTTCTACCTAACCAGGGGTGGGGAACCTGTGGCCTCAAGGCCGCATGTGGCCATCTAGGTCTTTGGGTGTAACCTTTTGACTGAGTCCAAGTTTTACAGAACAAATCTTTTATTAAGGGTATTTATTCTGTGGTTTGGATTCACTCAATGGGCTGTACCTACAAGGCCACATGTGGCCTTGAGACTGCAGATTCTCCACCCAATATAGCATAGTCCTCTCTCCTCTTCTTCCCAGGGGAGTTAAACTCATGCCTGAGCTCTGACACTATCCTGATGAGTCGCTGGCTCCCTGGCAATGCCAATGTGTTCTTTCAGAACTTGATGAAGGTCATAGGACAATACATCTTCATGCTCAACCTCTCGCCTTGGCTCACCCTCCTTTCCCTGGCTGAGATACCTCTCTTAATGGCTGCTGAGAAGGTCTATAATGCTCGACATCAGGTATATGTGGACAAGAACAGGTCTTAGAGGAGAGGCATGGACTGGTGCTGGTGGGATGGGCTCTAGGAGTATCCTTGGGGGAAAAGATAGAAGCAAAACTGGGGAGAGAGCTGGGACCTCAGGAAAGAATGATAGTTCCAATATGGGAGGGGGAATACTAGATTTCTCTCACCCTTCCTCTTTACCTACCTTGCCTCTGATATCTTTTCCCCAGGCAGTGCTCCGTAGGATGCAAGATACAGTGGCAAGGGCTAGACAGGTCGTGCAGGAGGCAGTAGGAAGCTTGAGAACTGTGAGGAGTTTTGGAGCAGAGGAGAACGAGGCCCAGCGCTATAAGGAGGCCCTGGAGCATAGACAGAAACTACGGTGGCACCAGGACATGGAATATGGAGTATATCTGCTCTTCAGGCAGGTGAGCCTAGAGTGGGACACAGCCAAAAGGACACAAGAGGAATAAATGTATCCCCAGGTGATGCTGCTTTCAGACTCTGATATCTTATATTTGACACTCCCCCTTCTGGTCCCAGTGCTTGCATGCCCTCTTAGTCTCAGAATTGTCACAGGTAGTCATCGGGGAATCAGTGTTGTCTGCAATCTAAAGGACAGGAGATGGGCCCCTTGGTGAGGTGACATATCCTGTCCTCATCTTGCTTCCTCTTTCTCTTTTAGGGACTTCAACTAGGGATGCAGATATTGATATTGAATTGTGGGCTAAAGCAGATATTGGCTGGAGAGCTCACCACAGGGGGCCTCCTCTCCTTCCTGCTTTATCAGAAGGATGTTGGGAAATGTGTGAAGGTAAGGGGAAATGGTCATTCCTCACTTTTGTTTTTATCTCTATTGCCGAATTTGGTTTTAGCTGTTTAGTTCTAACATGGTGAAGGCCGTAGCATAGGTGGGGCAGAGCACTAGGAGTTGGAAGGTTCATTTTATAGAAATCTGATTCCACATCTGTGGAGAAGAAAGAATGGTTTATGTCTGTCCTGGTGAGTATTTGGGACACTAGGTTCTTATTTCTTGATTTGTTCCCTTCACATTTTCTGAGATCTTGTTGCATGTCTGTGGAGACACCGTGAGCAAAGTTGGAGCTGCAGAGAAGGTGTTCCAATACCTGGACTCTGAGCCACAGATGCCCACCTCTGGAATGCTTGCTCCTTCTACTTTGCAGGGCCTTGTGGAATTCCAAGATATTTATTTTGCTTATCCTACCAATCCAAAAAACTTAGTTCTCCAGGTAACTTAGATTGAGGTCTTTGCCTCTGGAGATCCAAGCATTTAGCCCCATAGTCCTCAGCTTTATTGCAACTAAAAAGGGGTGGTGGGGCTAAACCTCTTCCTTTTGACATATGTTTTACTAAATAATAGGGAGGGGGACTATAGATGATATTAATGAGAGGAGGAAGAGAGGAAAGAGAGCAGGGATTACATTGTTCTCTCACTGTCTCTTCTCCCATTCCTTCCTCCACTACACCCCTACTCTTCCAGGGAGTGACATTCACTTTGTACCCTGGGAAGGTGACAGCCCTAGTAGGACCTAATGGGGCTGGGAAGAGCTCAGTGGCTGCGTTGCTACAGAATCTGTATCAGCCCACAGGGGGCCGGCTGCTGCTGGATGGGGAGCCTCTTCCACAGTATCAGCACCAGTACCTGCACTCATAGGTGACAAAAAGGAGAGAGACATGAAATTGAGGAGAGGGGCATTGGGAAAAGGGAAGTAGACATGGAGCCAGGCTGGGAAAGAGAGAATTTTTTTCTCTTTGAAAACATATGGAGAAGGCAAGAGTCCCTTGGATGCCTGTACTAAATTAACTCACTTTCTCTCCCCATACAGGTGTCTGTGGTTGGGCAGGAGCCTGTGCTGTTCTCAGGGTGAAATGGAAATTGGAAATTCCCCTTTAAATTAATAAGATCACTCAAATAAATAGGTTCAGTTCAAATCTCGGTCATGACCGTTCCATAACTCCTGAGTGTTCTTGGCCTAGCATTCCAGGAACTAGCCATTCCTAGGTCACGTTGACATGGAGGGTTGGCTCCTCTCCTTGTGAGACGTGATGTTATTAAAAAACAAAATACCAAGCCTCAGGCGGATGGGAGCGTGGCTAAGGTCAGATGTGTATTGAACAAACCATGAATAGTGCATGCATCAAAAAGGGCTTCTTGGCCCCAAGCCTTCTTTGTTTAGAACAATACAAAAACACTGCGTCCTATAAGCCCGCTGAGCCTCACCCGCGGGAAGGACGCTTCGCCCGGGAAAATCTTTACACAATTCAAGTTTGTACGGGCTGTAACGGGGCTCCCAGCCGTTGATTGACTTTGGAGGTTCCCTTGAATTGGTGATGTATTCTCTTCCATTACCGACTCTCTTGATCGGTGCTATATTATTGATTGTTCTTATTGTTATATGCTTTCTATGCAATTTCAAACTATCTGTGCCTTGCTTCTTCTAAATAAATTATCTATTTCTTATTATTTTCTGGTGCATTGGAGAGTGTCATTTATAGGAGCGAATCCGAACCTCACTAAATCATATTAATACACAGGGTCAGTGAGGGAAAACATTGTCTACGGGCTGGAGAGCTGTGGGGATGATGAGGTGAGGGCTGCTGCCCAGGCAGCCCATGCTGATGGATTCATTGCCAACATGGAGCATGGGCTGGACACAGGTGCCTCATCAAGCTGCAAGACTTTGACAATGAGTTTCTTCATGATATTCAAAAGAAAATTTGTCCATCTCCCAATGTGCTCATCGAGGCCATTGGGGACACTAACTCGAAAACTGGCGTTGTTCCCTGTCTTTCTTTCTACCTTGGATCTCCTCATCAATTGAAAAACAAAAAGGATTTTGTACCTACTCCTCCAGTATATTTACCTGGAAGGATTTGGCATTTGTATGAAATGTAGCAGTGATGTCAATTCTCCCTGGTTGGCACCATTGGGTACCCATCCTCATGACTGTTAGTGTGACCTGAGGGGAAATGGTGGAGGATAAGATTGGAGGCAGAATAGTGTTTCCGATATATGTAACATTCACAAGGTCTTGTCTTTGAGGAAGGATATGTTTTCTATTTCTTCAGTTGTTGGGGAGAAGGGGAGCCAGTTGTCTGCAGGCCAAAAGCAGTGTCTGGCCATTGCTCGGGCCCTGGTGCGGAATCCTCATGTCCTCATCCTGGATGAAGCCACCAGTGCCCTGGATATGGAGTGTGAGCAGGCGATAAGGGAAAGGTGCTATGAAAGAGACAGAACTCTACAGACCTGTGAGGATAGGGCCTGAGTTATATATAGCAGTGGTGTTAGGGATAGGCAGGGCTGACAGGGGTGATGTGGGGCAAGGACGATGGTGGAAAGCGTGCCTGGTCCAGGTCTCCCCAGGATTTGGGATGAGCATGCACCCTGGGAATGGGAGAGGGTAGTGAGGAAATCGTGTCTATATCTCCTCTCAATATTCTACTTGCCAGCTGATGGAGCAAGGGACTCTTCTGAATGGTATTGGAGATTGGCGGTACTGATGGATCTCTGTGGTTCCATCCCTTCTTTCTTTCACACACTATCCTAGCCACTGATGTACCACATTTTCCTATCCACTCTATGTTCAATAAGCAATGCTGGGATAGGTATGGAGGTTTCCGTTTTTAAATCTCTAATACCCTCTGTCTCCCCACCCCCCCAGCTTCAGAGGTGTATGCTGCAGGAGGGTTGGACAGTGTTGGTGATCGCACACCACATACAGACAGTACAGGCTTCTGACCACATCTTAGTGCTGGAGCAGGGGAAGCTGGTGGAGCAGGGGACCCACGCTCAGCTCCTGTCCCAGAGAGGCCTTTATCATCACCTGTTGCAGCAAAAGCTTGAAGACTGAATCCATGGAGGAAGGAGGGAACTTTTTATATGAGGTCTGGGTTTGGGTCAGGGTCTTGAGGATTCAGGGCAAACAGTGTTCTGGGCCCTGCCTCCCATTCCTAAGACTGGGCTCCTGTACAATAGCTGCTATAACATTGTTCAAATACCTTACCCCTTCTCAGCTCTGATACTGCTATAACCCTAGCACAGGCCCTCATCACCTCATGCCAAACCACCAAAGTAATTTTTCTAAAGCAAAGGTCCAATAATATCAAGCTCCCTCCACTCAATAAACTCCAGTGGTTTCCTATTTCCTACAGGATAAAAAAACCCCCCAAAATATTCTATTAGCATTCAAAGCTCTTCATAACCTGGCCACTTCCTACATTTCCAATCTTCTTACACCTTACTCCATGACACATTTTTTTCTACTTCTTCAAACCAAATACTGATATTCTTGCTACTGCTTGAAACAAGGCACTCCATCTCTCAGCTCCAGGCATTTTCCCTGGCTGTCCTCCATGTTTGGCATTCTCTCCCTCGTCATCTCTACCTACTGACTTGCTTAACTTCTTTTAAGTTCTAACTAAAATCCCTTCTAAGGAGGGACAGGTTCAAAAGAGAGAATAGAATAAATAGGGGGTAGGATAGGATTAAGGGAAATATGCTTAGTTATTTTATGACATGACCACTATGGAAGTGTTTTGCATGACTACACATGTATAACCAGTATGGAGTTGCTTGCCTTCTCAATGAGGGTGGATGGGGAGGGAGGGAGGGAGAAAATTTGGAACCCAAAGTTTTAAAAACAAATGTTAAAAATTGTTTTCACATGCAACTAGGAAATAAAATGTACAGGCAATGAGGTATAGAAGTCTATCCTGCCCTACAGGAAAATCGAAGGGGAAGGGAATAAGAGAAGGTGGGGGGAATATAGAAGAGAAGGCAAATTAGGGGAAGGGGTATTCAGAATGCATGCCATCTTGGGGTGGGGAAGGATGAGATGGGGACAAAACTTGGAACTCAAAATCTTGTGGAAGAATGTTGAAAACTAAAAATAAATGAATTAATAAGAAAAAAAATAAAGAATAGGAAATGTTGAGGAGGGCCAGAGCAGATTTCTTTAAAATCTAGGTTATATCTGTTTTACCTAAGACTGAAAAAAAGTTTGTGAATACATAAGCCAAAAGCTTACACTGGTTAATTTACCACATAAAACTACAATTTGGGAAGTAAAAAAAAATAAGAAGTTCTAACTAAAATCCTATCTTCTATAGGAAACTTTTCCCAACTCCTCTTAATTCTGGTCCTTTCCTTCTTATAATTATTTCCTATTTTTCCAAAAGTAGCTTGTTTGTACATATTTGTTTACTTGCTTTCTCCCCAGTTAGACTGTGAGCTCTTTAAGGTCAGGGACTGTCTTTTGCCTCTTTTTGTATCCCCAGCCCAAACTTTGCACATTTTTTGTTGTTCAGTTATTTCAGTTGTTCCCAAATCTTTGTGACCCCATTTGGGATTTTCTTGGGAGTGCTTTGCCATTTCCTTTTCCAGCTCATTTTGCAGATAAGGAAAGAGGGTTAAATGGCTTGCCCAGACTCACACAGGGTTGAATGGAGGATAGATTGGAGTGAGGAGATATAAGGCAGGCACACTCATCAGTAGGCTACAGCAATAGTCTGAGCATGAGGTGATGAGATGAGTAGATTGTAATATTCCTCTCTGAGATGGACAAAATAAACAGAAAAATAAAAAGAAAGGACACTATACAATTGAATAAATTGCTGAAAAAAATGTAGCTAAAAGACTTATGACTTATGATATGATCTGAAAGGAACCACTAATGAACATACATGTTACTCAGCACCATATAGCATTTTAATAAAAATTGACCACGTGTAATTATATGAAGAAATTACAAAAGAATATAAAATGGCAGGCATACTAGGTGCATCATTTACAGATATAACACAATTAAAACAGTAAACAACCCAAGGAACATAAACAAAAGACACAGATATACATAGAAACCGGGGGGGAAGTGAAGGGGAGTGAGTGACCCTTATCTCATCAGAATTGGCTGAAAGAGGGAATATTGCTCAGTTGGGTATAGAAATCAATTTTACCCTACAAGAAAATAGGAGGGGAAGGGGATAAGAGAATGGGGGCAGAATCATAGAAGGGAGGGCAGATTAGGAGAGTGAGTAGTCAGAAGCAAAACACTTTTGAGGAAGGATAGAGTGAAAGGAGAGAGAGAATAGAATAAATGGGGGATGGGAATAGGATGAAAGGAAATACATTTAGCAATAGTAGCTATGGAAAAAAATTGAAACAAATTTCTCTGATAAAGGTCTCATTCCTCAAACATATAGAGAACTGAGTCAAATTCATAAAAATAAGAGCCATTCCCCCCACTGATAAATGATGAAAAGATTTGAACAGTTTTCAGATGAAGTAATCAAAGCTATCTATAGCCATATGAAAAAAATACTCTAACCCATTATTGATTGGAGAAATGAAAATTAAAACAATTCTGAGGTACTACCTAAAGCTAAAAATGATGACTGTTGGCAGGAATGTGGGAAAAATGAGACCCTGATGCATTGTTGGTGGAGTTGTGAACTGATTCAACCATTCTGTAGAGCAATTTGGAACTATGCCCAAAGGGCTATAAAACCACAAGTACCCTTAGACCTAGCAATATCACTACTAGGTCTGTATTCCAAAAGAGATAAAAAACAAAAAGGAAAAGGTCATATATGTACAAAAATAATTATGGCAGCTCTTTTCTGTGTGCAAAGAATTGGAAATTGAAGGGGTGCCTATCGATTAACAGATTGTGGTATGTGATTGTGATGGAATACTATTGTAGCATAAGAAATGATGAGCAGAATGTTCTCAGAAAAACCTGGAGAGACTTACATGAGCTGATGCGAAGGAAATGTACTATCTACAAAGTGCATGTACAGAGTAACAGCAATATTGTAGGATGATCAGCTATGAATGACTTAGCTATTCTCAGCAGTACAATAATCCAAGACAACTCTGAAGGACTTACAATGAAAAATGATATCCATCCACAGACAAAGAACTGATGGTGTCTGAATACAGATTGAAACATACATTTTTTACTTTCTTTATTTTTATTGAGGGTTTTTTGTGGTCTATGTTTTATTCCACACCATGACTATTGTGGAAATGTTTTTCAGGACTACACATATATAACCTATATCAAATGGCTTGCCTTCTCAATGGGGGGGGGGGGGGAAGGAGACAATTGGGAACCCAAAGTTTTTTAAAAAAAGAATGTTAAAAATTGTTTTTACATGTAACTGGGGAAAAAATAAAATCCTAAAGAAAGAAAGAAAAAAGAAAAGAAAAAATCTCTCCGAAATAGACCATGCTTTGTCTGGCCTCTTTTGTCCTCTGGAAAGTACCTTGTTTCTTTTCAAATTCTTTATGAACACATTCAACACTCTTGTTTTCCTGAGTATCAGGCACGTGAACCAACCAATTAATCAACCAATAAGCACTTATTAAATGCTTAATTTGTGTCAGATTGTTATGCTAGACACTGGGGTTACAAAACAAAAGTGAAGCAGTCCCTGTTCTCAAGAACTTACATTCTAATAGGGGGATGTAACATCTTCACAAATAAGTAAATATAAGGATATATAAAAATAAATAGGCAATGTATGGAAAACACTAACAACTAGGGAAATTGGAAAGGCCACTTGAAGGAGGTGCACTTGAACTGAGCCTTGAAGAAAAATAGAGATCCCAAAAGCTAGAGGTGAGAAGTGATAGTATTCCTGACATGGAAGACAACCTGTGTAAATGTGTGCACACAGAACATTATCTATATGCTGTGGACAGCAATCCCTAGTATAAAAAAATTGAAAGGACCAGCTTAATTTTCATAGAGAATGCATAAGACAAAGTATTTTGTAATTGCCCTAGATAAATAGGATGGATATTGATTGCGAAGTGCTTTAAGTGTCAAATAGAGATGTTTGCATTTTAACCTAAAACTAATAGGGAGCCACTGAACCTTCTTGAATAAAGGAGCTGTCGTGGTCAGACTGCACTTTGGCAATGCTGCTTTGGCAGCTACATGGCAGATAACTTGGACAGGGAACAGACTGGATGCAGGGAAACTAATTAATTAGAAGGCTATTGAAATAATCCAGATATGAGAAGATGAGGGCTTGGACTAGGACTATTTTGGTGTGAGAAGAGAGAAAGGATGTTCAAGAGGAAACATTCAAACCTGAATCATTTGAGGAATGGTTTTAGCTTCAACAGAGATCAGGATGTCAGCAGCAGGAGGAGGAAGGTTCAGAAGGAAAGATAATAGGTTTTGTTTTGGCTGTGTAGAGTTTGAGATACTTGCAGGGAAACCAAGTAGAGATATAAAGCAGATAACTGAAGATGCATGAGTGGAGCTCAGGAAAGCTGGATATGTAGATATGGGAGTCACCATGCATAGAGATAATAAACGATTTCATTGAAGCTATTGAGATCAAGAAAGAAAGTGCAGTGAGATGAGGAGAGGGCCAAGGATCAAGCCCTTACGATATGCCTATGCGAAGACTCTAGGATATGGGTGATAAACTTACAAAGGAGACTGAAAAGGGCCAATTCCACAGGTTGGAAAAGAATTATGACCAAGAAATAAAAAAGGTCACTGAAAACTCAGTGAAGAGAAAACTCCCCAAAGGAGGGAGTGGTCAGTAGTGTCAAATGATGCAGAAAGGTCAAGAAGGATGATGACTGAGAAAACAATATTGTACTTAGCAACAAAATGGTCCTATGTGGCCTTAAAGAGAGTACTCCTTCTGTAGAATAATATTACAAAGTATTACAAAGGGATAAGAAATGGAACCAGGAGAGAAAATGGAGGCCATCAGTTGTAGATAACTTTTTCTGTGAATTTAAATGTGAAAGGGTTGGAGTAGGGAGAGAAACAGGACTGTAGTTTGAGGGTAAGGTCAAATGAAGATTTTTAAAAGACATGTGTATATACAGTAAAATAGTAGATGAAGAAAGGCTGACAATTAGGGAGGGCACTGGAACGACTGACTTAGCAAGCCTTCCAGGATCAAAGGCACAAGTAAAAGAATCAGAATTGGCAAGGAGATAGGATACCTCTTGTTCCAAGAATGGAGCAAAGGAGGAGAGAATAGAGAATGATGCTGAAGTTATTTGAAGTATTGAATTGGGGAGGAGATGGAGCTCACAATGAATGACCTTGGTTTGTTCAGGAAAGTATGAAGCTATC